AGTGGTTGCAATGTCTGGCATATCTCTTATCTTAAAAGACGTGTGATCATTGGGGCCATTTTGTTTGGCACTTTTAATGGTTATGCTCATGCAGTGAAACCATGCTTTTCACTGCAGGTGCATTAATTCTAGTTGTGTTCTTCTCCTTGCTCTTATAAAATTTTAAGAATTGCAAAAATCCGTGCTAAGCATTAGCATGCATATACTCTGTGCACAAACACTTTAGTGCACGTAATGCTGTGGTTTTCTCAGATTCTCTTTCGTTAAGTCACTGCTTTTAGTGCTCCATAAGGTAGTGATTAAGCTGTCAAGGAATATGATAACTGTTAGATTAGTGTTTGCCCAGTATTAGTGTTAGGTGTCGTAACCACATCGCACGAAATTAGAAAAAAACCTAGCGCCAATGGCACAGTTAGGCTCGAACCCGTTCCCGCTAGGTGCCAGCCCAGTATTCTACCACTGAACTATGCCAGTGCTTGGGACTAGTTGGTAAACTTGCCTTAGGCATGCTCGATGTCGGGAAAGCAATCACGTTAGTACGACTTGCAAAGTGTTTCAAAACAGCGAAAGAACAACCAGTCATCGCACAATGCGAATAGGGTAACGAGTGGGCCGTCCAATGCTCCAACCCATTACAAAGCTTGTTTTTGTTCAGCTGTTAACTGTGGCACATACCCACTTCAGGCATAATTTCTCATCGGCATCAGCCACTGCATGAACAATTGGCACAAATTTCTTCATAATAGTTTAACGATACCACGCTTCTCAGAAGAATGATGAAAAATAGCTTAGGGAATGCCGGCCTACTACCCTAAAGTTTCTATTATTAATGCCGTAGTGGGCATCAAGCAAGTGTGCTTGCTGCAGTTACTCAATGAGTGTTTAGAAAAAGGCTCTGAAAGGCCGCTCTTCTAGCTTTGGCTGTGACTGTGCTGCGCCTTCCCCGCAGGCCTAGCATTTTTTTGATGCCAAAGTAGCCAAACTTGCTCGCAAAGTGCTTCAAATAAACGTGTCGTTAGAAAAGTTTAGTTTGTTCGCACACACCTTGCTTTAGCGTAGTGGGTTTCTGCAGCCGTAAATATGAGAACCAGTTAAGGTTGGGCCACCTGGCGGCATAAAGAAGTACCAGACACACACATAGTTGCTGTTTCAGAAATCTGATGTTTTCTACTTTTTTCCTGGCGTAAATTTTCAGCAGTGACATGAATATGATTGTATTTCCCTTTAATACATTTTTTTTCCACAGTCACTTTTTCCACAGTCACTTCAAAAACAAAGAAGCTAGCCTATAATTGCGGTTGTATGAATCGTCACAAGATGTCAATACTATCATCTGGTAACTCGATACTCTGGAAACATCTCATGCGTATACCAGAATACTGTACCCGCTAATATTCTATATTAGAGAATTTTAGTGATTGTTGAAGATATCCAGATGGTTGCTTGCATTTGTGAAAAAGCAGACGATGCAGCACTCTGAGCATCCTAGATTTGTGGACCCATGTTTTCAAGCTTCCTACACAGTGACGCCAGTGTCAAAGTATGCACCCTGAAACTAGAACTGAAAGTTGTTTACATAAATAAGGCGATATAAATTTATTTGACGAGAATGCAGGAACTTTAGAGTGTGTATGTGCTTCTTGGAGCAATAAGAAATGTTTGCAACAGCACAGCCGCTCGATGAAAAACACACAGTGCTGCCTGCCGCATCGAGCGAATGCGCTGTGCCACGCCTAGTGCTCCAGGCGGCCGCTGGTGTGCCGCCCTGTAGAGAAAGCGAGAGCGCCAAAATGATTGCGCCGGATCGCGGCATGAGAGTGCACTTTCTGTGCGCTTGATGGCCTTTAAAGTGGTACAATAAACTTGCTGCAGTGTTAATTATGTTCATAGGCATTCCTACTGAAGCTGCGCCGGTGATGCTTCAAGCTAAGTACAGCCAGAGTAAATTTTATCTGATGTGGTTGCTCGAGGGAGTTCTGCTTTCTCGCGCCTTTTTTTTTCTCTCTTTTGTTGCCATTGCGCTGTTCACCCTCAAATATGTTTTCTCGTGCTACAAGTTTTTTTTTTTTTCTGCAATAGGATAATCACTCATTGACAAGCGCGTTGCATTTTCCACATAATCGTGTATCTCACATCATAAAAACAAAGAAGAAAAAAGCATCGTGAGCACCAGGTAGTCATAATTGGTTTATTGCATGTCTGTGAAAAACAGGATCGCTATGTTAGAATTACAAGCGCAGCACTTTTTTGGCCAGAGGCTTTTGCGCCAGGTGTACGAGGCACTCAACTGAAATGGTTAGATTTCCTGCCTAGTTGGTAAAAAGAGCTCTGATGAAGACTTTGCAGACTTCCATGGCGTGGTGTTTCATTTCGCAAGTCAGCTCCTGGCATAGCTACTGGTGTGGCAAAAGTGCAGATAATAGCAGGTTGCAAATCTTGCCACGTCTGCTATCTTTACCACGTCAATAAATATGCATATTAGCTTGGAAATGCCGATAGTTTCTATCTTCTGGTGTCCTTGTTATTTTTGTAAAACTGTGAACGCCTTTCAGCCCCATTCAATTTCTCTTGAAACGCCTGTAGTGCCTCATTTATACGAGTGATTTTCGCTTTGAAGTGGTGCGTTGTTTTTTTTTAGCTTTGTCAGATCATCAATGTCGAGAGTAGTCTGACATGACGCATCGGCAAATGATGCAATTTCCATACACGTTTCAGCCCCTGGTTCGGAGTTGACAAGTATGGTGTCACTTACCGAGTGGTTTTGGCTTATAGCAAGCCTGTCTTGTGAAGAAACATTGCCCGAGCACTTGGCACACGGCTGCAAATTGTCTTTCATTTTAAAGCGCAGCCACTGCTTCCTAGTTGCGGGAGTTCTCCTCGTGCTCATGTAACTTGGATAAGCGGGGAACACGGTAGGCACAGCAGTAGGCAAAAGCACCCTCAACTTGGTGGTCTTCTTGTAGTCTTCCTCCGTAAAATGCAAAGCGTACACCAGAAACCTGTCATTTGGCTGGCTTATTGTTCCCTTCCAGCCGGGTCCCTCTCGGGAAATGTTCCGCAGCCATGCTCCCCTGCATTCGGCGTCGCTGAGAAACTCGTGGTAGCGTACTTGGGGGTCTTCTGCTGCGTTTGTCGAACACAGCAACACACAACAGTTGCGTGGCATTTCACCTGACGCATGAAATATAGCACATGCACGAACTGTTTTGAGCGACACTCAGGGCACGCAATACACGCGAGAAAAACAACGGCTGACCCTGCCTACTACCACGGCCGCTCAATGAAAAACACGCGCACCTTCCCGTTGGCACGTTGCGTGGAGCTTCCCCTACCACTAGCTACACTCTCGCCCATTGCCTGCATCGTGACGTGGCAGGCCACACCGTGTTTTTCATCGGGTGGCCGTGGCAGCAGAGAATGTGCAAGCCATGAATTAGATGGCACCACCCCTTTAATGACTGTGAACTTGGGCTGGTGAGCTGAGGCCATAAATCAGTGAAAGCTCATTAAATTGACCCCTATCAATTCAGGAAATCAGAAAAACTCAAGACGTGTTCTGTGGTCCCTACAGGCATAGGCATTGTTTTAATGACAACAAAATCATTAATTTGCTTATATTTGGCCTCACACCGGTTATTTTGAATGATATTTTAAGTGTGCTACTTAAAGGAGTAAAAATGGGGTTCGCGAACTACTGAAACAGACATGGGTCGTTAGAAAAGTGTGGTCCCCACCCACAGTCTTGTCGCAATTGCATTGTTGGCAACAAAGACGCCAGTGAACTTGAACTGCATGAGTGCTATCTATGATTGCAGCGCTATCGAGTGCAGTTAAATCTGTGACAACAGTCATTTCATTTTCGTTACGTTCTTTCCGAACTGCGTAGTCTCCATTCATGATGTGCATTAGCAAGGCAGGTTTATTTAGCAGCAGATGCGGTGATCAGCAGTTTTCTTTCGACTCAGGACATGGGCCTTGCACATGCCTTCAAAACTACATGGATGCTACAATTTCGTTCTTAGCGGATCCAGTGCTAAGTAGCTTCAAACTTGGGGCAATATGCGTGCAAGGTCACAAAATTTAAACATGGTGGAAGCTATTGAAAATGAAAAGCTTCAGCCCCAGCCCACATGCTAGCATAAAACTCTTTTGCTACATTGTGATGAATGAATGATCAGTTGCCGGCTATATTTATGGCAAAATATTTGATTGGTTTGTGGGCCTGGTGGTGTTGGCAGTGACGGTACGTAATAAGGGATGGGTTCAGAGCACATTTTGGGGGTTTTCTACAAACCCAGCTACAGGTTTTCTACAATGCAGCTGCAGCATCATAGCTGTTTTATGCTTAGTAATGGCAAATTCTGTTTTGTTATTTGCTTTCCATTATGGCAAACGTAAGTTGGTGCTAGTATACTGAACCAAACACAGGGGTGGGGGGGGGGGGTGACAGGGTGGCTTTCAATGAGCGGTGCAATTTTAGTTAATTTTCAGCAGTGTCTGCAGGCTAAGTAAGCTGAATAGTAATTATAGAGAGAGAAAAAAGTAGTGTGTGTGTGAGTCTAAAAGCAATTTTGCTTAGCCAGTGTTTATATATAACGCCAGCAACAAAAGTTCATGGAGTATGCGATCTAAAAAAATTTGAATATTTTTGCAGCAATACTCTAATGAAATTGCAACTGAAACAATGTAGTTATGAGGTGTGTACTGCTGCCTGGCTCCTCTCGTGTTTTTCTGGGTTTACTGTATCGCATATAGACACGCCCTACCCAAGCGAGTACATATTAGCACGCTGCACCCATGCGAGTTAACATGGGTGCAGGTCTGATATATGTGAGATGCAGTCCGAAAATCATTCAGCTCCAGAGAAATTGGATTTTTTCCCCCATCACTGAAGAGAGAAGAATAAATGTTTTTGTTATTGGTCCAGTGACTTGCATGTCCCAATCTATGGCCAGCCCAAGCCATGTTTTTATGTAGATTTTCTTATGGTGGTCTTGCAGCGGGTGTGGCACGCGAAGTGGACAGTTCAGGCCATCTCTTCCTTGGAGCTCTAGGCACTATTGATGTGGCATCGAAGGATGACAACATCTGTGATGATGATGCAGACGAAGTGGCTTCTACCGTCAGTGAACTGTCCGGCCTTTCTGACCTCTCAGATCTAGCTGGAGCTGAGTGGAAGCCAACTAGTGGAGGTAGGCTGGCCTCTCAATCTCAAGTGAAATCTTGTACTTGTTCTATAAACAAAACAGATGTGGCTGACATAAGTAGACGAGGTTCGTGCTTATGTTACCTGTTCTTTAACTCAGCATAGTTACCTCTTTAGGGGTTTAAAAAAGCCAAACAAACAAAAAAAGATGCTATATGAGACTATGGGACAGTTTGTCTTCGTATTTTTTTAGCACCTAAAGCAGTTTTAATGTGAAAGGATGCAAGCATGGCCAACAAGAAGTGTCTTCAGCCTGCCATGAGCCTCGACCAATGTTGTGTGGCCAAAAGATTTGTTGGTTTTTAAGATGGATGCAAGATGTCCCCATGATCAGTATACATTGCAAAGTGGATTTGTTGCAACTCTATACTCATGCTCTCGCAATAATTGTTAATAATAGTGGTGGGTTTCGAAGCATCAGTGGATAAGTGCTAAGTTAGGCTAAGAAACGACAGAAATCATCAAAAACATTAGTAACTTGCTTTTAGTCTGTTAAAAACTTAAGTATTCTAAATGTTGAATTTTGTTGTAACATGTACACGAGGCAATTCAGAGACAATGCAGAGGCCATGGAATCACTGCAGTTAGAATACAAAATTGGGAAGGCATCTTACTACAGTTAACATGTATTCACTTCAAACAGTGCCACAGTTTCAGTAAAACTATTATTGAAGCCATCGTCTTGAAGTTGCAGTCCCTGAAATGTTTAATGAAACACAATCTTAGATTTCTTTCCCAAGATCTTCATAGTTAAAGGTAGGAGGTACACTTCTTTGAATTTATCAAGAAAACATTGATCTGTAGACAAGGCTGGAAACAAATATTATTGCGCTGCATGCAGCAAAGAGTTTACAATGTCTTATCAAAAACAGCGAAAATTTCCTTGCTTTCTCCTTTGTAATGTCGCGGCTAGTTATGGAGCAAATGTCTCCTACAAAAGATTAACTTCTTGGTCATGAGTACACTCATTACGGCTAATTTCTTGTTGAATGAATGAAAAGTTTACATGTCTACAATGTTAAAAAAAATTTTTTTATTCAGTGTCAATTGACAGTCGTTCATTAAAAAGAGTTCCAGCACAAAAATTTTATACTTTATTTTTGTGCCATAGTATGCTAATGACCCACTTATCATGGTTTGAGACCTCACTTGCTTGAGCACATGACATTTAAATATGTTATAATAATGTCATGTTGTTTTGGTTCAGAGTGCACTGAGACAGACAGTAGCCAACTAGGTTTGTTAGTAAGTTTTGATTATGTGCCTATTACGGTGAAGAAGACATACGGAAGATGGACAGAGGTTAACAGGATATGGAAATTTGTTGTAATAACCTTTGTCTGTCTGTCAGTCTTCTTTGCTATAATTATTTCAATTGGTGCATATTCAAAACTTCGGCATGGGCCTGCTTGCCCTAGTCGTTGCCTTACTGACATTGGTTGGTTGGTAAACATAGCTGGACATATGAGCGCACAAAACAGCGACACGCTTGCCATGTGCACAATCGGCGCACAAACATTGCTTTGATAAATGCAAGAGAGAGTGCTAACAAAGAGCATGGCAACCAGCAGAAGCTCGCGATGTAATTAGTGGTTCAATGTTTACACTCTTACCAAGTTGACGTTCATGTCATAAGGTACTCCATTCTGTGTGCAGTTTCAAAGCACACTTTTTAAAACAATGACATGCTTGCCGTGTGCACAATAAGTACATAATATAGTCAAGCGTTTGACGAAAGTTTGTCTGGTCAAACATTGAATGAGATGAAACACTGCCACAGATCATCAGGCTTAGTCTGTGACCGTGTTTCATTTGACTGGTTACATAAACATTGCTTTGCTAAATGCAAGAGAGAGTGCTAATGTGGAGCATGGCAACCAACACAGTCTCATGATGTAGTTAGTGGTTGGTTGTTAACCCTCGTACCTAGTTGCCATCAATGTCACAACGTACTCTATTCTGTGTGAACTTGCTAGGCACTCCCTTAAAACTAATTTTAACTATGTTCTAAGATGTACAAGCATGTACACAGACAAACAAACAAATAGCTAAGTATGGTGGAACTGCTGGCAGCTTGAATCCAAATTTTTACTTTGTGCATACTTCGGGACTTTCAACTCCTTAACAATGCTGCCCCCAATGGTGTATTTTCTGCAACATGGTCTCTTCAATACTGTCGCATATAAATGACAGATGTACAGTGTTTGGGGATTGAAACGGAACAATTTAGGGCTATTCAATGTACATACTTTCGTTTCCATTGTCTTCAGTTTTGGGTCATATTAGCGTAATTTCGACTTAAACGCGTAGATCACTGCCAATACTTCCTTTAACTTTTTCGTTACCTTGCGAAAATGGTTACATTTCATATGTCTCAGGAAAAATAGTTTTTGGAAGTTTGAAAATTACTCCAGCATGCATTGCAGCATACCAAATTTTGTGCAATGAAATGCTCTTTCCAAGAAATATATGTTGTAGACCAACAAAATTCTTTTGGAAGGAATAAAAATGTGAAAAGTGTGTAATTTTTTATTGCCAGCTGAGAGTAGTGCAATAAAAACACTACATGCAAAAATATTCAAAACAAACAAAAATAAGTATATACATTTTGAAGGTAAATGACCCTGGAATAGTATAAAAAATAATAAATGTTGTACAGAATGCTTCTATTCTCATAGACAAGAAAAATCGGAGCTGTGGTGCTGCTTCATTGCTCGTGTGATGCGGTAAAGCATTGCTTGGTTTTTCATGAGACACAAGTGAACTCATACACTTTCCTTAGTGAATTTGTAATTTTTTGTTTTTTTTTGTGCGATAACAGCTCGCATTTGTTGCAGTATAGATGGATGCTTGTGGTGTTAATGATCCCTTGATAAATCAGATGTCCGGTGAACTTCGCTACTTCATGTGTCATCACCTCTTTCTTTGTAATTTTTTGTATGTTTTTTTTTTTTTTTTTGTGCGATAACAGCTCGCATGTGTTACAGTATAGATGGGTGCTTGTGGTGTTAATGATCCCTTGATAAATCGGATGTCCGGTGAACTTCGCTACTTCATGTGTCATCACCTCTTTCCATGAGCCACCTCACTCGGCATAGGCTGGCGTTTCAATAGGGAGTTTTAGTGCTGGGTACGCATTCTCTTGGGGCCTTGCGGGCTTGGGAACGCGCGGCGTTGCGTGCCCAACCCATACCCAACCGGAATGCTTTTTAGTTGGTGCCACGATGGCACGCACGTAAACGCAAGCCGCACAAAGTTCACACGTGCTCGCAGAGCCATAGCGTCTTGTCGCATAAGTATTATTTAAGTCTTTTTATGATTTAAAATGTTAAATTAAACATACATAGATATCAGGACACTTTTTTTATTGTGTACAGTAATCTGGTATACGCAAAAAAGTGAAATACAAAGTTATTGTAACGTCAGTGTCGACATCTTGTGACACTTCGTACAACCGCAGTCATGAACATGTTAGCTTAGGCGTAATATTTTTGAGGTGAAAATGAATAAAAAAGTTACTCATTTGTAGTATTGTCGCTGCGCAGTTTTTGCCCCAGATGTACAATGCACAATGTTTCTGCAATAACAAAGTTGTGGTTGTCTGTTTCACTATGGCCGCGCTAGATGGCGCCACCTATTCAGCTGGTCGGGGGCTGGCATGTGCTTTTTAGTTTCTATGTTTCAGACCATTCTAGCTTCGGAAATCTGGCTGAAATCGTGCAATCGCTATAAGTGCTCGCACTTTGGCTTATTTTAACTCGACGGCTAGAGTATCCGCAGTGCGGATACCGTGAGTTCTTGCGAAGGTGGACCGCGCGGACGCATGGCCCCATCGCCTCAGCGACCTTGCGACGCATCTGTTTGGGGTTTCGCGCATGCGCAATATCGCCGCCCCAACGTCCTGCGTACGCAAGCCGCTTGGGCACCCAGCACTAAAACTCGCTAATATGTGCATCCAAACATATTTCTTTGCGTATTTGCCCATCCCATAATAAAAACTAACATTACCATGCACAGTTCTAAATCCTTTCTCGCAGTTTCGTAGTGAGCCAAAATGTGCTCCATTGGCTTTCTTGTCGTGAGAAGCTCTTAGCCGGCACCAGCGCATTGCGCGTCAGCGACGTGTTGACATTGCTCGTAACCAGAGTAGCTATAGGACTATGCTCAAAGGTCAGCAGCTACGCACTTGCAGCGAGTAGACAACGTGAGGCCATAAACAAAACAAGCCGCTGCAGATGTCTCAGGCTGACACAAATTATTATCGCCCTAAATATTCAAGCTGAGGTGCTGTCATCCTCGAACTCTGTAAGCTTGTCCTCACTGAATTCAGGTGTGGTTGCAAAACATTTTCGAGCTGCACGTCTTTTGCGGCACAGGTGCGCACTCATGTGCACGTTACGACACTGCCATAGGAGCGACTAGTGACACGAGATTCGGCCTTGTGTCTGATATAACAATACGAGCTAAACCAAAGCTGCTGGGAACTGGTTGAAAAAGCCTACTCCACACTTTATACATGCGGTGGGCCTTCGGAAACATATTTTTGTAGAATAAATTTTTTCCAAATCCTAGCATTTAGCTCTTTAATGAAGGGCTAGCATAAATTTCTGGCAATTATTACTGCTCAACACTGTCAGATTGTGAAGCTCATACCTTAATTTGATATTTGATTTCCAGAAGCTCCTTTGATAACAAAACTTTGATCGTACAGCAGTATAAGCGCGAAAGGCGCGCACTTCTGCACTTCTGTCAAGTTGGCTGGCCAAGTGCATTTTGGCAACAATACATGCACATTGGTACGCACAAAAGTCCATCAAAAATCGCTTTGTTGCCAAAACAGACTAATTCAAATTGATTCTGAAAGCTGAGTGGCTGGACTAACTACTAAAAAGTATTGGGTGGACGAGAAAGCAATTCCAGATGCCTAAATCGACGATCTAAAGCATCTATCACCGGTGATCTATATGAACTAGCATGGTAACGAAAGAGGTAAAGACCAGATTCATTGCGACATGATGTAGTTATCTCGAGAAATTGCGCATAGTACTCATTTTGCAAAAAAAAAAAAAAAAAGAACGAAAAAATGTGATGTCGCGTTTCAATTCGTGAGTACTCTAAACTTTCCAGCGCACGCGAGCTCTTTTCTATGCACCTGCCTCAGTTGACGTTGTCATAGGCAGGTGACTGAAAGTGCTTTGAAATGTGCAGTTTGGGCATTTAGCTATTATCCTTTGGTCAATCTGTTACAGGAAAAGGCTGGTCTGCACTAGGTGCTCTTGTAGCACGGCCTGACTTGAGAGCATTTGCTTATGATCCAGCACAAGAGTTATGCATCTCGCTAGATTTCACGGGCACCATGAAGTGTCGCCATGAGCCAATACTGCACACGCCTGAACTGTAAATTGGGGTCAATATGTTTAAAAAAAAGTAAATGTGGAAGGCCATGGTAAGAGGTACTGTATCTTTTGCATGGAGCTTTACGTTATTGCCCCCTCCCCTGTAAGTGCTCGCGTGGTATGATAGCCATGTGTAACTGCACTATTTGACAGATTTGAGAAACATTCACAGCAGATAGACTAGTATTCGTGAGGCAGTACAAAGACGTTGCAGGGTCATCCTGAGTGATCGTATTTATTAAGACCCTGTTTCCAAATTTTTTGGGGGCTTGTACATATATAGATGCTGACACCCAAGTTTGATGGTGAGAAGTTTTTTGGATGTGTTGGTATCATCTATGAATGTTGTGGTAAGCACAGATTGTTGATGGAAAATGATGGTTTTATTTTGTTTGATTTACATTTTCATGCTTCTTGAGCACTCGGTCTTCTGATTTGGGATGCATGCATGTGCTGCGACTATATGAGAACAGAATTTTGCGGAGTTGCTTGGCTTATGTTTGTGTACATTAAAATAAAGCAATCTATTCATGCTTATGGCTGTACAGAAAACTCTCGTGGTATGGATGCAGGACCTATGGGCTGGGTACAGCGTCAGATGAGTGTGGGCGCGGACCCACGAGCTCTTTTGGAACGCCTGCTGCCAGATGGAGCAGTGATTCCCCCCAGTCTTGATCGGCTGACCCTGTGGAAAGTTCTGATCAGTATGCTAAGTGAGGAGGAGCCTCCTCGACGCACCAAGCTGGAACATGTGAATACCCTGGATGACGTGGTTCACCTTCTGCGCAACTGCCAGCGAGTGCTTGTGCTCACTGGAGCTGGCGTGAGTAGTCTGACAGAGGTTTTGATGTATCATCATAAGCATTGAGCTGACATGTCTTGGTGAATTATATTCTGGCCGTTGTGATTATCACAACATAATCACAATTAGTAGTCAGCAGCACGTCCTTAGCTGAAAGCTTCTCATTTTGCTTGTTATTACCATTGTACATACTGCCATAGCTCTAGCTGAATCTCACCCCCTTCTTGTTTTTGTGTGTGCAAACAGGTTTCAGTCTCCTGTGGGATCCCTGACTTCCGTTCGCGAAATGGAATTTATGCACGCTTGAACAAAGATTTCCCAGCACTTCCAGATCCACAGGCTATGTTTGACATTCACTATTTTCGTAAGGACCCAAGACCTTTCTTCAAGTTTGCCAAGGTAAGCCTCGTAGCCTGTTACGTGCGTGCGATTACTGCCCTGCAACATCAGCGAATCGACGCTTGTAAATTTGCGGGTGCAGACCACGACAACCTGCAGCCGCCATAATGCCCCAGCGTCATGATGATAACAATTTTAGCAGCGCCATCTCTAGGTCCGATAAGTTAGTTCACAATGCCACCGCTGCCCTCATTTTCGTTGCACTGCCATAAGTACAGTTTCTCTTCTCTAACTGTTAGTATATCAATGTATGTTTTAGTTGGAGAACCATCCATTCTTTTAGTGGATATAAAATATAAAGACTCATTTAATATATATAAGCTGATAAACAACCATCATAGTCTGCCATAAGAAAGTGACAGAATCTCAATAAAAAGAGTGTAAGGCAGGGAGGCAGAATCTCTCCAATGAAAACCTTTAAAAACCTTTAAAGAGGTTTTCAGGGCCCTAGATAAAAAAGAGTTTGGGGTATAAGCTAATGCTGAGTACCTTTGCTACGATTCGCTGATGACATTGCATTGATGAGTAACTGAGGGGATGAATTACAACTCATGATTACTGGACAGTAAAAGCATGAGAGTAGGACTGAAAATTAATACGTGTAAACCTAAAGTAATGTGCAACAGTCTTGACAGAAAACACCGCTTTGTGATAGGTGGCGAGACACTGGAAGTTGTAAAGTATCCTTTTGACAGGCAGTAACTGCAATGCAAAACCATGAGAGTGAAATAACTAGAAGAATAAGGATGGGGTGGAACACATTCAGCAAGCATTCTCAAATAATGAATGGTAGTCTTACACTATCCCTCAAAGGGAAGGTATGTAACATTTGCATCTTGCCAATACTTACCTATGAAGCAGAAGCCCATAGGTAAGTATTGGAAGCTTGTGAGGTCCTCAACTTAAATTGAGGACGATGTAGCAAGTGATGGAACGGAAAATGATGGGTGTAACCTTAAGAGCCAGGAAAAGTGGGTCAGGGAACAAACAGATGTCAAAGATATTATATTTGAAATCAAAAAGAAATGGACAGGGGCCGGGCACGTTAAGGGTAACTGACTATATTCCTAAGGAAAGAAACACGCGAGGGGGAGACAGAAGGTTAGGTGGGCAGATGAGATTAAAAAGTTTGCACGTATAACGTGGCTATGAAAATCACAAAACCAGGTTGATCAGCGGACAATTGGAGGGGCCTTTGCCCTGCACCAGATGCATTCAGGCTGATGATCATGACAATTGAAGAAACAAGTACTCACAGAACTCATTACAGTGAATGAAACAGCAGCGCTGACAACATAGCATAAGTTGACTAGAGACATTACTGGCTCTCACAATCTCCGATAGTACAGTAGACTCACTAAAAGGAACCTGAAAAGACCAGGAAAATATGTTCCATTTAATATCAGTTCTATTTACTAAGAGATGGACAAGGGTGGAAAATACAAGAACGAAACCAATTTTGTTGGAAGCACTTGTTTTATTTAAGTAGCACTTCCGCGTAATTTACTGAGAGTCTACTGGATTTCTTAACTAGTAGATTGACTACGTCAGGATGCCCCCAGTGCTCTTCGAAATCTAAACTGCCTTTGTTATAAACATATGAGCATATAATTAAACATTCATCTTGCACTGAGAAAACTTAGTTTTGTTTTGTTTGTTCGTTTGTTTATTAATACTGTCAACCCCAAGGGGGGGGGGGTGTTCACAGAAGTGAAAAATGCATACAATTTTACAAGATAGCGTACAATTTTATGCTGATATTTGAGCAAAACATTAAAATGAAATCAAATAGGTATGAAATAGGTTACAAAATAGACGTACAGCAAATAGAAGCATTTACAGTTGATGATGTACAAAAAATTAAAACACAGGCATGTACACTTACATTTTGCTCATTGAAAACAAAAATTAACAAAGAGAGAGACAAAATACATCGACATTGTGCCTACAAGAATAAAAAGTAATGGAAATAAGTGCTGTGACACATTTGTTTCAGAGAAAATAATTTATTCTAGAACTGCAGAAAGAGCTGTCATAGAGGAAGACATGAAAACTGGGTTTGGTAATTCGTTCCATTCTTTGATTACCCTCTCAAATAAACTATTTTAATGTGTCATTTTGGGTGGCCGGTGGCTGTATGTACAAACTGTGTCAGTGTTTAGAGCACGGATCGAGAAATTGCAAAGGAATTTATTGAGTCCGTTTTATTAACCTGATAACGAATAATGAGGGATAGAAATTGTAAACGGTCATACAGTCGAACTCCGCTACAATGAACGCCGCTTCAATGAAATTTCCGCTACAACGAAAAATTCACGATTCCCCGGCAGTAGTCCATAGAAGTCAATGCATAAATATTGTCGCCACAACGAACACTTTTTCTTCGATTGTCCCTCTTTAACGAAATTTTAGGATGTGATTCCAGGCTCAGATACTTATTGCTGTGCAGTGAACCCAATCTTTAACATTTCTATGCATTTTCATAGCCTGAAAATGCGTCAACGAAGTCTAAAACACGCATTGGCACCACCAAAAACTGCCGCTGTTCAGCAAGCATGGGCGCCGCCATTGCTCAGCTAGCCACGAGTGATGTATGATAAGATCGGCATAGAATAATGCAAAAGTCGCCGCTCCACGATACCGTGCCTCCATATCGGCGTCGTCGAATACTTTTTGGCGGCGGACAGCTTCTGGTGTTAACGTGTTAATGCAACTGTTTGGTTCGTTCACGAAAGCGGTGTTAGGCGTTGTTTCAGCGTGCTTTTTACCATGGCCTCGCTTGCATGGGGAAAATCACGTCACGTTGCTGGGAAAGAATAGGAAGCAGCAAACATTTTTTGATTTTTGAGGATAAACGTTCTTTTGTTTTGTTAGCTCAGATCAGCTATTTTTTTTTCGATTTCACTACAACAAAATTTTTTTGCGCCCCGTCAGTTTCGTTGTAGCGGAGTTTGACTGTACTTAGTTATAAGGTGGGAAGGTTTGCATGGTTGCAAAGTTCGGAAGCTGTTATTAACGATTCAGTAGCAAGAAACAGAGGCTCGTAAATTTTGTGTTGCCACTTCTTCAACAGCTCTGATTTTTTTGCTAGTAGTGTTTCTAATAACAATTTTTGATTGTTGAACATTAAAGCAATTGTACTGGATGATGTATTAGTACAGTTACATTGATAATTTGCTTCTGTCATACTTTCTTGCTATATATACTGTCATTAGATGAACCACTGTGTGTATTGAAATCCGTTATCCAGGCATTAAGGGGAGATGCTACTCGAAAAAGGTTTTTTTTTATTTCATAACCCAGCTCCTTGAAATTTTAGGTGTTAGTAAAGCTTGCAGTGCTGATTTCATAACTGCAATTATTTGTTTGATAGCTATAGTAGTTCCGGAGTTACTACAACTTTGATATCAAAATATAGTGTTTTTTGTGCACATAATAAAGCTTACTAAAAATTTTCACACAGAATTGCAAAATGGCTCATTCTGCTGCACTTGAGCAGTACAATACAGAAAAGTACCTCAAACAGAAAATTTATTTGCTACATTAAAAAAAAAAAATTAAAAGTACTAAATGCATATTTTACATCTCTCTATCAGTGTATCAAGTTGTGTAACAAAAAATCTGTGATGTATAATGCAACCTAAAGTAGATACTTGTATTCTAGAGTGGCTGATTAAGCTCTGTGCAAAATTTCATCAAGATAGGACTATTTTATGCCTAAAAAGATTGTGCACAAGATGAGAGAATTACCTCAAAATGGAAATCGAGAAAAATGCATTTGAAAGTTGTAAATATGTTTACTCATGATTACACAGTGCGATTTGCACAAAACTTGGTGATATCATAGAAGGGACACAGCTAGAGCACCTAAAATTGTCCTGCTCCATATGTGGATCCTTCTCGCCGCTTGAGAAGGGAGTCATCAAGGCGCGCTTTCTTTGCCACGTTCCGCCGATGGGCCCTTGCCTCGGCTGTTTCACACGCAGACATTCTTTCGATTCTCCTCTGGTCGCGGGATCGGCCCAGGGTGATCAGTTGATCTGGTGGGACTACACCAAGCTCCTCTAGCACGTGTTCAAAGCTTGAATGTCCTTTATTGAACCACAACACGGCCATAGCAGCTGCAGTTTCCACTGTTGTCCGGGAGGCAAACTTAGTCTTCGGACACAACAACCAGATTTTGCTGTTCAAAGATTCTGCAGCGTTTTGGGTCTTCCCTTGGATACAACGCACCAGCAACTTTTCATCTGTGAGCCGCTTGTAAATGGGAAGCACAGCCAATCCTTGAGCCTTGGTCAAGATTGGTGTGTGGTCGGGTGGGGCCTCCCCAAGCGCTTCAGCTCGCCTATGCTTGCACCAGGAAGTCGCTCCTTCTGGACAGTATCGGTGGCTGCCTGCTGTGTTGCTCGATGATGAATGGAAATATGAGGCCCAGATGGCACGATGCATTTTCAGAATATCACCTCTGTTGTTTGTGATTGCAATACGGTAATAGTTCTGCAGCTTCTGAATTGTGCCATCTGTCAGCTTTTCCCCTCGTGGAAGTCTTGTTGGCAGTTTCCGAAGTGCAGTGCCTAGACGCTTGGCCACATGGTTTGTGCACTCCTCCTTGTCCACAACAGCTTCACCATATACCTTGGCCTCAGCAACAGCGGTATAAGCTTTGCTGTCCCCATCACTGAGGAACTTGGTGAAGCGCAATGGTGTTGTGTATGAGGATGTCCTGCCCCATATGCGCAAAGCTGCCTCAGTCTCCATGGCATGAGAGGAGCACTCTGTATTTTTTTCGCAGACAGGTGTGTGGAATGCTTGCCATATTTCTTCCTCATCACCCAAGTCCTGGTGCCGGCTACAGGCAAGGCAGTAATTCGATAGCACTTCAAAATCTAGGCACAAACCAGTGTCCACAGACACAGCAGTGCCGATGCCATTGTGGCTCTTGTGCCCTCTTTTTTGCCATGTGCCATCATACATGACAGCAACATCAGCCCCATCCACTTTCTCTTTAGTTATCATCCGCGCTTTCGCCAGGTTTTCTTGCACAGCTTTGGTAGCTGCAGCATGAACTTTTTTGCCGATTGCAATAAAAGTCTTATGATGCATAGGTATTGGCAGTCCAAGAATAGCGCAAAAACGCGACAGCTGTTCATGCCCAATGCCTATTGCACGCGCAGCCACAACTACCTTCACATTGACAGCGAAGCTGTCGCGCGAGCTGCCGCTTCGGTAGCTCCAGTCATCACCGGCATCGGTGGGCTGTCTTTCCGGCAGAACACGCCGCGAACTATGCGCGGCAGAAACCACTGACTCAGGACACTCACTGTTATCACAGTGCAGCTCGAGGAACGAAGAGAGGCCCTTACGTTTACTTGCGGTGTCGCGAACGACGAGTCCAGCGGTGTGGCATGTTGGACAAACAGCACGGCTTACCATCGATGTCAGTGCGCCGATGTCACAAAATACTCCGCTCACAGAGCCACAAACACTCTTCGTTCTTTCGCTTTCGAACTGTTCAATCTTTTTTTCTGATGCGCTGATGAACTTGATCGCGGCGTCGATTTCGTCAAAGTTCCCGCAAGCCGCCGTATCCCCGCTGCCTTGATTAGGCCTAGTGGCCCGCGGCTCGCATTCTTCTACCGCTGCTTTGCGCTTCGGTTTACGTCGACGCCCTTGGTACTTGTTCTTGCTTGCAAACTTTCGTGCTCGGAAGTCTCGCTTCTTCGAGTTATCCATGGTGAACTCGGAAAAACATAGAAACGCACGGCAAGTGCCGATCGTCGCAAGCGCTCAGCGAGCGAGGCCGATCAGATGTAGCCAATGGCGGCCTCGGTAGCGTACCATGTGACCGGTAGAGATGCGCGAAGCGGCTGCAGCTTGGCTGCAAACCGACTTGGAAACGACTGTTTTGTGAAATTCCTCACTAAAATACGAAACTAGGGGGACGCCTGTACACTAGAAGGAGCCTTGATCTACACCACCGAACAAACCCCGATGGCGGACGTCATCGTGTTGCCGAGTGGCGGATTTTCAAAAATAGCCGTCGGATGCGTGAATTCGCGACTTCGGCAGCTACCTTCACTAGCGCAGATCGACTTTTTACCACTTTCTCGTTTGAATTCAGCTATGACCTTTGGGGAAATGATAGTTGAATGATCAAAAGTGATTTTAGCAGCAATATCTCAAAAGTGGAAATTTTCGCAAAAAACGCGATTTTTCGACCCGCATCTCCCCTTAACTGAACTAGTAAAAGTTATTTTGTGAGTCAGTGAAAATAAGCATTGAGGAGATTCTGTGGCTGCATTTAATGCTTTTACAAGTAACCTTTCACTTTTGTTTTTCAAGTTGCCATTTGACTGATATTTTTACAGGAGATCTATCCAGGTCAATTCACACCATCTGCTAGCCACAGGTTCATAAAGCTACTGGAGGACAACAACAAACTCCTGAGAAACTATACACAGAACATTGACACGCTTGAACAAACCTGCGGCATTCACAATGTCATCACATGCCATGGTAAGTTGGTCAGATGAATTTGCACTCTTGCTATGCCTATCTGTTTGTCACTTTTTGGTGTGTCTGACACCACACAGTGTTGCGAGAAATCTATTGACATGAAAATTTTTAGCTTTTTTTTGTGTCCAATGAAAGGCTAAGCTACCAAGACCATAATCATGACCAGTACGATAACTTGAGCCTTTAAAAACGATTTGTTTCGCAACTTTTAAACCTTTAGTCCTTAGGTAATACACCTGATGCTCTGCCAAAGCAATGGGCATGTTATCCGAAGGTTGCAGGTTTTGTCCCTGCTGGTGGCAAGTCATATTTTTGCCCACTTCACTTTCCTTGCATTTGTATGATAATTAGTGGAATCTCGTTGATCCATTAAAAAAAAAAAATGTGCAAAAATGAAGGTAGGATTCGAATTCAGCAAAAAAAAAATTAGGCTGACAAGTTTATATAGAGATGTAAGAGCAAAAAACATTTATTTCTCAAAAAACATCGTAATTATCTGCCCCTGCCTCTCACCTTTCGACAAGAGAAGCTCCTTCTGCACACATTGCAGATCCTTGTCCGCATTTTCATTGTTCTTTTTTTGCAAAAGAAGCTTTGTATTCCAGTCTAGCAAGGGCTTTGGTGAAGTTGCCGGTCGGCGCTTGCTTTCGTTCTCGCCACTGTGGTCTGATGCCTCGTCTCCCATCGTCTTCGCTGCCGTCGGGACATTGTCGTCTTTCGAGAGGAACTCGTCATTGATGTCATCGTGGATGTCAGACGCGCATGTCACAGGGTCATCTTCGCTGTGCTGTGTCCTCGGATGCAAGCTTCCGCCGAAAACCGGTCTTCCTGAAACAGCTGCCCCTTAAGCACGCTGCCGTCATAGTCAACTCCAGAGGCCCGTGCTTGCTTAAACCAGTTCAATAGCGCTTCCTCCAGCTCCCCATGGCGGGCTCCACAGGCTTGCTTTTTGCGCCGCTAAATACCAAGGCGTTCGTCTCGGTCTCTTTTCGCTTCAACACCATGGTATATTCCCAGTAGACGCTGGCAGTCCAAGTTCGTTCGTTATGTCGATTCACTTCTGATTAATCGACAAGGGCTTGTGCTTCTTTGACGGCATGCTAGACGCTGCTGTCTCAAATCGCGAATCATGTACACTAAACAAGTGCAGCCTTGCACAGGGTCCGGCCAGAGAAAATCTGGCGCGGCCTGCATACCGCATTTACTCGTTTAATCCTTGCACTCACATAATTCTTGCACCCCCCACATCGCTCAACAAAAATAGGATTTTTTTTTCCTTGAGTAATTAACATACCTCTGAAGATTGCCGCAATAATGTCATCTGCTCGTTCCAGCCATTGGTGATGATAGTACGTGCCATCTGGTGCCATCTCTTAAGCATTAAGCGTACTACTAATGCACGGAGATTCAATCCAAGCCAAGCCAAAGTGGCAAGTGTGCGTTGCGGCGTGTTTTGTTTGTTGTGTCGGTAATCTTGTCACGTTATGGGGCGATACTGAAGCTACACGGCTGCTTTCGAATTGAAAGTGATTGATCATGCACTGAACAACGGCAACAGGGCCGCCAGTAGGTCCTTCGGAGTCTACAAGTTTTTTGTTCGCTACTGGTGACGGCAGCTGAAAGCCACTAAGACGCGTTAAGCCTGCCATGGGCATGAGACTGGGATGGATGGTAAACTTTATTTCGTCTGAAGGAAACTGCGGATGATTCTGTTAAATAGCCATCAGCCCAATACTGACATCCTACTCTTATCGTTTGAGGGCTTCTGTTGAGTGACGAATGCTACCGCTACGCTATGCTCGCAACGCCCACAAGCTTTGTGTATGGTATTCTAATTCTCAACTATTTGCTTGCTTTTTTGTCTCAAATAAATCTTGCCTTGTGTTGAACCTCTGCTTTTATTGTTGAGGTAAATTTAATTAGTACTTCTCAAAGATTGCTGTTTGTTGCTGGTGTGAAAATCCCTATTTGCGGCCACTTTGTTTTCTTGTTTGCTCGGTACGTTTTCGTAGAAAGTTTTCCCCGTGTAATTCTCGCACCCCCCCCAACATTGCATCGGTTTTCTGCCAAAAAAAGGGCAAGGATTACGCACGTTACGGTATCCCTAAACCTTCTGGCGTCGGTGTCAAAGGGGAGAGTGGTCTTCATTGGCTGGGATATCAGTCACGTTGTTCTCGGCTTCATAAACCACACGCGCCCTTAGCTGTGTTGTGAGTGATGTCTTCCATCTTGTCGCTGTTGTGGCCCAGAGCACGTGCACTGTGGAGAACATCCACATAGGTAGGCCATGGATGACATTCGCGCAGCACTGATTGTGAGAGAGCTCGCATTCGCCAGGCCAGTGGTGCAGTCCGGGCACGAAAACAGGCCTAGGCGGCCAAGTGCCGGCAGCAACTGCGTACTGATAATTTGGCAGCCCCACCCGCCACGCTAAATTGCGTTAATCTCTGTGCTACAGAAAATAAAGCATTTTTTGAAAAACGTTGACTTTGACGGCTCAGAAGGGTCTCTGTGTGAGAGAGGGCTGACAATTGAATGCAGCAAAGAAACCGCCGTCGCCGCATGGCGGCAGTCTGCGCACTCATAAGCACACAAGAGTGGTTTTTTCGCACACCTGAGTGAGAATGTTTGCTCGCAGATCGTATCATACAAACACAGTTTGCCGCAATGCTGAATGTTGCTGCCAAATAATCGTTTTTTCCGGGAACGTATTGAACAGAACGTAATAAAACATGGCTCTATGGTGGCAGTTTCATTTTTTTTTTTTCATTTCGAGTGTAGGAGCCAGGCAATCATATTAAGCGGGAACGTGTCAATGAGGATCTACTGTATTGCAATACAGTTAAAACAGTACAGATAATGACCCCTATACCTTTCTTCGGTTTTTTATGTGTTGGTTTTTGTTAGGCTTCTTGAAGTATTTGAATGTCTTGAATATTCTAACAGATTTTACAGCATCCGAATACACTTCGAAGCCAATTTAAACTGTTGAAAAGTTTGAAGTATTTCAAAATAAGCAAATGCGTGTATGTTAGTCCTCATATGACTTTTTGTAAAGATGGCTTCACTGCAGTGAAGGGTTGCTAAACTGTTCAGGAGGGAACTGCATTGCTGTGAAGCCCCACTTCCAAGGTTATATGAACATATTACCCTGACATCAATTCTTCCTTTTTGTAATTTTGAAAGCTTGTTACACCAGCTTCAAGGGGAGTTTTATAAAACGAGGCAGTTCAGTTATTTCTGGTAACTTGATGCATAGTTAGAGTAACCTGTTGGGCTGATGAGTCTTTTTTTAATTTTGTTTCTAGGTTCTTTTGCAACGGCGTCATGCACAAGATGTCACCACAAAGTTGACTGCAACATGATCAAAGAGGAGATATTTAACCAGGTACTTTTTTGGACAAATGTACATTCATTCTATAATAGCCTTAACACTAAGGGTCCAACATAATATGTTCCTGCTTGAGGTACTGCAGGTGTGCTGAAATTAGGTTTTTTCCATTGACAGGTGAGCTCCTCAGCTTCATGAGACAACGTTTCTTAAGCATGGTCTATTGCACAGAGTTTCTTGTTGTCAACATCTGCTTTGTCATTTTGGCATTTAAGACAGAGATATAATAATGATTAACAATAAATGTTTACTTTGAATTTGTATGTGTATCAGTTTTCATTTCTTTTTAAATTTCAATGTGAATACCTTGTGGATTACTGTGAGCAAAACAATGCATAGGCTTGACATCACGGGGGAGCGAAGTACTGATTACTGCTAACTAGGAAAGCAGGCTAGCTGGCATTTCAGAGCATTTGCTATAGTGTAACCTAATCAATCTTTGTAGTGTAACCTACAGATTACAATACAGGCATGTTTGTGTTATCGATGACAAGGTGGCCACATGAGAGGTTGGCTTCATTGGCATGAATGTCACTCTATGAAATGCTAAACACTTGCGGTGTAGACCACTTTTAATTTAGGCACTTATAGTGCAGGACCACTTACAATGTGGTCTTTTTCGACTCCCATTTACACTCCCATGGAACCCGATGTGTACGCATACTGCTTATTGTGAAGTTCCCCAAGATGAAAGACCGGTTATAATGCAGTTGCTGAAAAATCTGTGACGAATGTGGTAGTGGGTGTGCGTAACAAGCAATGAAATCATTAAGGAGCAGGTGGGTGCAGAGTGAACAAACGATGGGCAGAGTGAGGACAAGGAAAAATGCAAGGCCTGCGCGGAAGGCGCAGCACAGTCGCAGCGAAAGCATGAAGAGCGGTCTTTTCCAAACAGTCTTTGGGTAAATGCTAGAAGCATGCTTGCTGGGTACCTGCTACGCCATAAATATTCATAATTTCTGCATAGTAGGCCGGCATTCACTATGCCAGTGGTTCTCAAATGGGGGTAAATCAAGAGCAGTGTTTGAATCCTTGGGGTGCCGCCACATGCCGCCGGCACCCTTCATAATCTGCTAAACTTAAACAGTGAGCCATACTCGCATGAAAGAAACGCAGTAGAAGAGGGCGATTGCATTTTTTCAGGGGCGTTGATGGTCGTTATGCGCAGTAGCATAACCGCTTTTCCCTGTGGCATCCCCTCATGTGTAGCTTTCCTCAGAACTAGGGGAGAGAGAAAGTGTTTACAGCGCATGACAGATACTTGCAGCTCCTTCGTTCATGACAGATTTGTGAATTTCTTGGGTCAAGTGATTTGGGAGGTAATAAACTTCGATACTGAGGTCATTAGAGGATTACTTGGAAAAATGGTTCAGCACCCCTTAAAGAACGTTCTCTGATCAGAAGTATGGATAAAACAAAACTAGGATATAACATATTGTCTTGCTAGATGGTTACGTTTGGTTGTTACAAGCATAAAGTGCAGTGATTTTCGGCAAAAAATTTGAGATTGCTGAAAACAAATTTAAAAAAAAATTTTTGTTCGTGCTGAAGTGTACAGTATAACCCTGCTGATAAGTTTTGGAAGCGACTACAAGAAATAAAAGTAACAGCTAGGAAAAGTGAGAGGCAAATAATTGGAGAAACAGAAAAATATTTAGTGGAACAGGGTTTTATTCCACTGATTATGTTTGAAAAAATATGTACGACATTGCCTGGTGTGTTCGCTCATGCACAAATGGCATGGAAAGTTTTTTGAGCACCTGCAGTTTCATATCCTTCTAATAAAGTTATAAATCTAGTGCCAGCACAGCGAGCTCCTGGAAAGTGATCGCTGACCTCGCCAAAAGCGATACAAATCACTTTTGGCAATACTTATTACCGCTCACGTCTTTGAGCGATAATGCAGAATTGTTGGCTTAGTGTTGGACCACCGTGGCTCATCATAGACAGTCCACTGCCTTGCGAAAGTGAATGTACTCCTGACAGCAATCCTTGAAGAAAATGACCCCTGCTCCTACAGCTCCTTATCTTTTTTGCTGGTGCATGCATTTGTGCAGTCAGCCGCTATTTGGCTGATGGAGATAGGACAACATAGATGAAAATGGTGTCGTATCTACAGAAATGTAACCAACATTTGCGATTCTTTTGGCACTAGCAGTTGTAGACGTGAAAGAATTGAGTACACGCAACAAGACTAGCGCAACAAATCTGACTGTGAGCTCCACGAACTCTTTTGATGAATAACAATAATGAGTCGCAGCAGCTGGACCAAATGGCAATCTTGAAGGTCTTATTTATGCGAGTGCCAAAAAGAAGCCTCAAACCAATTATGTCATACAGTCTATGTTCGGAATACGATTATTGAAGGCTGTACTTTGGTATATGGCAACCAAAAGTGCAGTAAACAAGTTTCTTGTATTACTCATGCAGCTGATCTTATGGTCAAGCTATGTTAATCGTTAACATGGCCACTGTCTTCTGAGGTCGCTCGTCGTGGCTCGGGGCACACTTCGTGGTGTAACGTAATACAGGAATGGTCCGACGTTGCGAATTTGCTGCGAGGTTCTCCAATACATTCGATACTGTGGTAGCTATGCTGGGACCGGTAAAAAATTATGTAACAGTTGAAAAAAGACAGCATTACGCAGAAGCTAACTTTTCAACATTTCAAAATGTATGCCCAAGCTGCATCCCTCAATATTCAACATTGCGTAGCTGCCTGTTGGTCGTGTTTTGAACACGTACAGCCTTTCAAAAATGTTTTGGTTACAATGCTGTACCACTTATATAGTGCAGATATTTGTTACTGTGGCAGCTTACAATATAAATGGTCTATACCGTATCACATAACAGTGGAACCTCAGTGATGCGATCACGGCTCGTGCGCATTTCAAAGTAATTCGAATATTGCTGTGGTCTGGCATACGCCCATTAGCCTCCGATGTATTGGAGTACAATTGTTGCTAACCATTTTCCGCCCTGCTACGTTGGGTGCAAACTTGTACTACCGTGCAGGTTCGAACAGGTGTTGCTTACGCTATTGCAGAAGACACGTCAATAACACACGTCTGGAATTACCGTATCCAAGTTCCGACCTTTGCGCAATGCTGCTAGTTTGTCAGGATCCTCTAAGATTGTGCGCATGAATCAGCACGTGAACGTGTGCTGCTGTGTTCAAGGCAGTGATGTAGTGTGTTCACATCTGCCTAGAATCTCCTCGCAATCGGATGCCCTATGAAATCTTGGAAGTACTTTGCGCAGAACAAACGAGGACGAATTTCTTCGTGTCTGTTTGTTCCGTACAAAGTACTTCCATGAATTAGTTTCAACTATGCCGGCTAGCAGTTTTGCCCTATTAAAGGCGGACGAGGACTGAAAGGGGTAGGGGAGAATCTTAGAGAAAGAGCTAGGCCTCGGAGCGTCAACATGCACGATTTTCGGAGACACGCTTACCTGCCAGCTCTCCGATTTGCATGGGATACACAAAATTCCAGCAAACCTCCCGATGGTGCGGGCATGGCTGTAAAGCTCCCTAAAAACGTTCCCTGCCCCACTGCGTTAAGAAAATAACAACAAAGGACAGTGGTTCTAAAATTTTCTGGCGATCATCTATCGTGTTCAAAGTGCTCCTTATGTCATTTTTGCCGCAGTACATTCGCAGCGCGTCTGGTTTTGCGCACCTGGGGTATATTTACGAGTGCAAGTGTGATCGTTGACGTCTAGGAACTTTACTGCCAATCATTCAAAGCTGTTTGTCATGTTGGTGTGACTCTAAGAAACAATAAGTAAAAATATATGCCGACTTTCTTCTGTTGCATACTGATTTTTCGTGTTTTATGTTGATACGAATTTTTGATGACACGAATATTTTTTCTTGCATTGCAAGAGTTGTATCTTCGAGCTTTCATTGTAGTAGTAGTCACTATTTACCTTTAGCAAGCTTATTACTGTAAAAAAGTTCAAGCATGATAATTTAAAAGAAGCATCAGTCTGGGAGCTGCTTTGAGTTTCAAGAGACTTATTTTAAGGTTGGATTGTTTTATTTCTTGTAAAAAGTAGGTGCATTGAAATTGTGATCTCAACATAGCTGCTGCAATCTTTGCCACAGCTGCCTCATTTTAGTGGGGGCGGAATGCAGAAATGTTTGTGGACTTGGGCATAAGTACATGTTAAAAACTCCAGTTCATCAAGATTAACCTAGAGTCCCTATCTATTATGTGTTTCACAAGTGGGTTGTGGTTTGGTATTTAAAGCACTACTAATAACGCAATTATTTTGAGAAAATCGGTTGCTATTGAATAAAATGAATCCATTGTCCAAGTTATTATTTTTTTAAATGAAGTTTGCTGAAAATCAAGTCAATTTCATGAAAATGTAGATTTACAATTTTTATAACTTGATTATAAGGGTTGGCTCATGATTTTTGTGAACTAAATTTATTCGTGGTCTACCTTAAGTTTGAGGCTCATTTGGAAATTTCAAAATTATTTGCATGTCTTAACAATCATCTGACTTTCAAGTCGCATTTGGGGTCTTTTTACAGAGAATTCCATTGTGTCCGAAGTGTAGCCTGGAAGAAGTAGAAGCAAGTGGGGAAATGGCAGTCATGAAGCCTGACATAGTGTTCTTTGGAGAGGGTCTCTCCCAGGAGTTCCACCAAGCCATGAGCCATGACAAAACACAATGTGACCTGCTCATTGTCATGGGCTCCTCACTCAAAGTACGCCCTGTGGCCCTTATACCCAGTAAGTGCTCTGTCTGTAATGACCCTGTAATCATGTTCACTTGTTGCCCCCATTCTCTGGAGTGATCCGTGTGCCTGCTGAATACCTGGCCTGATCATGTTATGTATCTGTTTCTGAAGGTTCATAATTTATGTGAAGTGTCTAGCCAAAGTATGACGATGCGGCTACTCAATGTATATCTGCAACTGTTACAGTGGAGGCTGTATCTAGGACTGTGGCTGCATTGGGAGCCCCATTACAATTTTACTTTGTTAAAAAGAAATATAGCAATATATATCTGCAAATTTGTAATACAGTCAAAACCCGCTATAATGAAATCGCCGGGGAAACCGAAAAATTTTGTTTTCGCAAGAATTTCGTTTCCGCAAGTATGAGACATAAAAACAGTGATACGGCCAGCAGAACGAAAATTTATTGCCAGAAGTCAGTCAACTTACTTTGCCGACCCTTGCCAAGCAACAACTTCAAAGCTCTCCCTTCGCACTGGAAAAAGTGGTTCATTGCTACGTCGTCATCATGTGCGCCGAAGAAGGATTGAAGGGTGTCCAGCGCATCCAAAACAATCCGCGGGTTGTTTTAGGATGCGCTAGCATGTTCCTGCCCGCTGTCTCGCTGCCAGCATAGTTAGGGCTAAAGCCGACTCCGATGACGCGCCGCGCTCGTAGTAATCTGACCGTGTCGCCGCTTACAGCTTCATTTCTTGCGACGAAACACGTCGCCACGAGTGGGCTAGCGCATCGTTCAATCCTGCCCGCAGTCTTGCTGTTGGCGAAGTGAGGGCTAAAGGCGAGTCCGATGACGCGCCGCGCTCGTAGTAACCTGATCGTGCATCCGCCTACTGCTCCTAACTAAAGCGTAATTATATCTTAAGGTGTCATCGAGCCGTGAACACGTCACGAAGTAGAAATTTTCGAGAGCCATGTTCTCGCGACGCACAAGCAGCAGACGACGATCTCCCAGAGCGAGCAATCGGGCCAATGGCGAGGCGAGCTGAGACAACATGACGGCCACAGCTAATCAAGGGCCTCGAAACGACCTTCAAACATTTGTTTTTTGTGCGCTTGTTTTTAAAGGGAGGAGCCAGCTGAGACGGGAAAGCCGGGAAACGCGGAGAAATGCTCTTCCCAATAAGCCCAAGAAGCCGGCTCCCGACCCCGCCATCGCGAAGCTATAATTTTTTGAATATCGCTGTTTTCTCGCGATTTTCAGAAAAAGTTTCACTACCTAGGTGGGTGAAATGAATTTTCCAAAGCACTTTTGTGCAGTTTTCAGTGTAGATGTTTTGGAATCGGATAGAAAAAGGGTTCCAGAAACTGAAAACTTGATCTTCAAAAAACTCTATTTTTTTTTTTGTCATTTTTCGCTATACCTAAGCCGCATCCCCCCTTAAGGGGGGACGTGGCAAGTAAAACTAATTTTTTTATTAATGTACTGTTTGTGATGAAATTTGGTGTGTGTATGTGGATGATTGTGAGGATTCCAAATATGAAAACCGTTTTCAAATATCTCTTGTACTTTTTGAGTTACAAGCATAATTATACTAATTAATGCTCTTCACACTTAAAGAGATAATTATTGCTAAATGAAATTATTTTTTCATATTATTATGTTCCCAAAGCATCAATTTGTGCAAAGAAGCTATTAGTTGATTTTTCTAGTTCTTGTAACCATAAATAAAATTTCCAAAACATGGATGTTGTTTTGCGCACACATCGCAGTAATTATAAAATGTGTTCTAAAAATTTTAAATGATGAGTAAGAAGAGAGATAAAGCTTTATTGCACTGCTAAAGGCCTTCTGAGCCTAGTGCAAAAAACGGAACGACTCTATCAGTCTTTGTTAGAAAATGACAGATGTTCTAGCGAAGGCACATAGGCGAAAATCAAGAGTTGAGAAAACTGACTTTGAAAGTTCACTCTTGTTTGGAAGTTCACAACATGCCTAAAACACTCAGAATCCTCCTGGGCAGTAATCCTGAGATGCTGTGGCCTTGGCCTCTGTAGAGCGCAACCCAGTTTTGCGCTTCTTTGTCGTGGAACAATGCGCCTTTTGAGCCCTCTTTACCCTTTTGGCATCCTTTTCGGCTGCTCGCCGCAAAGAGCAGTCTCCTGGATTGAAGCCCAGTTGAGCAGTGATCTCTTGCAGCGCACTCTTGCAGCCACCATTGAAACGGCAGACTGCATCTGCACTTTCCACACTTCGAAGGGAGGCGAACTGGCTCTTGGACTGGAGTGACCAAATGAGGCTGTTCATACTCTCCACAGCGTTCTGGGTTTTTCCCTGCGCACACCTTTCAAGGAGCTCTTTGTTCGAGAGGCGCTTGTAGATTGGCAGCAGTGCCACTCGCACGTGAGGGGGCAGTTTATGTTTGTGAGGCGGCAGCGGCTCTCCCTTGGCCAATGCCTGATTGTGCGGGCACCAGGAGTCAGTCCCACTTGGGCACAGGTCGTGGTGTGGATCCTGGTCTGTGGATGTTACATGGTAATAAGTGGCCATGATGGCCCTCTCCATGCCAGGAACATCGTTGGGGTGGCTCTTAATGGCCCAGCCATAATAATTCGTCAACTTCTTTATAAGGCCCTGCGTCAGCCGGCCTTTGCCACCCATGCTCAGTCCTCGGCCTTTGGATTTGTGCTCATCAAGAAGGTTGCGCAAGGAAGTGCCCATTCTTTTTTTCACATGGTTCACACACTCCTGTTTCTTAATCAACATGTAGCCATACACCTTGTCTTGCGTGAGGGCAAGGTACGTACGGCTGTCACCGTCGCAGAGCACATTGATATATCGAAGCTTGTACTTGGTAAACGATCTTTCAAACATGATCCTCGCTGCTTCTACTTCCATTTGGCCTGCATTAGCATCGGTGTTCTTTTGGCACTGTGGCTTGTGTTTCTCAAGCCACTCCTCATAGTTGTCGTCACCAGGCTTGGGGCCAACAGCACAGCCTTGGCAGTAGTTGGACAGGACACAGTGGTCCAAGACCAAGCCTGTGTACAGCTCGATTACACAGCCCACGCCAATATGACTTCTGTGCCCCCTCGTCATCCACGTGCCGTCGTAAATGACGTCAATGTTGCCTGGCACTCCTCCTAGGTCCTTGTAAATGTCATGCACCTTCTGTGCACTTTCTGCTTCAATGCGGGTGGCAGCTGATGTGGTGGCAGGGTGGCTGTACTTCCTTTGCAGTCTCTGGTAGGACTTGTGGTGCAGTGCTCGATGCGAAATGTCCATCGCAGAAAAAATGTCATTTATGGCAGATTGTTTTCTGCCAACTGACTGCACAGCCCTCAAAGCACGCACGTTTACCTCAAAGGGGTTCGTTTTTTGTTGCCCGGAGCACCTCGGGGACGACCACGCACTGTTCACTATGCCACAATTGTCACAAAAAAGTTCCATCCTCGCCGCGAGTCCAAGGCAGTGCGTAGTCTCGAGGCGTATCGACCCTTCGTCGCACTTGTTGCACTTTACTGACGAAAGCAGACCGTTCAGCATCTTCTTATTTACAATGAAGAATGTGGACTCCTTACCGCCGTCATTTTCGTCGCAGCCTTCGTTCAGAAGCTCGAGCTTCCGCTTTGAAGCGGACTTCGATGCTACGGCATCCAAAACATCCCGCCTTGTCTGCGCCCGCTGCGCGATTTCTTCACTGCTCGGAATCTGGGCCGAAACTCGCGATAGAATGTTCGACGCGCGCACGCCCGGAGTTGCAACGGCTGCCGACGCGGTGCCACCGCAATCGGGTTCGCGAGAGCGTCCATCACGGTCGACGGCATCCGGCGGTCTGACATACGACGATGTGGCACCTTCCACACTCTCGGCCTCACAACAATCAGCGAAGGGTCTGAGTAGAGGCTCCGTGACGCTTGAAGAGCATGCTCCGTCCGGAACTGCGACTGGGACGGCAGCCGCAGTCGTCTGCCCTTTGTTCCAAGCTTTCCGACGCTTGCCGTACTTGTGGACGCTCCGGAACTTTTTTTGCGACAACATAGCACCGCAGTATGAGCAAGCACTCAGAAGAGACCACCGATGTAAACAAAGCTTGGTAAAAAAAGCACGCGAACTATCACAAAAACAGCAAACTGGCAAAAACGAAGCGCACGCCAGATGATTCTCGACACGGCGGCCGCAGATGCGCTCGCGCTTCCAAGGTTGCCAAGGTGCGCGGCGCAGCTTTGACCAGTAAGAGGTCGCGCCTGCTACCACGTGACCCGCGCAGCCAATTGCCGTTCTTCGTTTTCGTTTTTTTACTTGCTCCTCGCGCTTTTATTTTCACTCGGCGAAATACGAGACCGCGACCATCGGGAAGCCGGCTTTCTCCTCTTTCCAAAGCTACCAAAATGGCGGCCCACGGTCAACAACTTGGCGCGTTTGTGCGGCGTGAACAACACCGTTTCAGGGGCTTTTTTTTCGCACTTTTCGGCGACTAGCCTCGGCAAAAACACTATTTGCGGGATTTGTAGCGCACGTTTCGCTGTAATATTTTAGAACAAGGAAGTTGAAGGTCTGAAGATTACGAAAAAAAATAAATCAGAAAATCGCATATTTTGACCAAAATCGGCACTTTACTTGCCGCGCCCCCCCTTAAGTAAACAAAAAATGGCGGTACCCACGCTAGCGCGGCAAAAGCAGACGTTTACAAATTTTGAGTGCGCGTAACACGTATACGAGCATATTTTCAAAGTTAACATTGGAGGGAGGGTAAAATAAGGCCCGGACCATGGTAGAAAATTCGTTGATGCGGGATAGCTGTCTAAAAACATTTCGTTGCTGCGAGATACGTAATACATGGGCTTCTATGAACGTCTGTCGGGGATCCGGAAATATTTCGTTGCCGCGGGGATTTCGTACTCGAGGGGTTTCGTTATTGCGGGTTTTGACTGTAGTGTCTTTCTTGACCTAATTTACGCTATGTATTAGCTTCTGAGAGTTTGAGAAAGGATGCTTCTAGGTTTTCCAGACTCTGTTACTACGTCTGTTTTCTGTAGGTTCCATTCCCCCGGAAGTACCCCAGATACTGATCAACCGTGAATCACTGAAGCATGTCACTTTTGATGTCGAGCTCTTGGGTGACTGTGATGTCATCATCAAGGAATTGTGCAACAGGTGGGTTGCCTGTTGATTGACATGAGCTGGTATTATTTATGTGTGGTTAACAATTAATGATGACTGTCAATTTTCCTCACCTTGAAGGCTTGGCTGGGATGTTGCTCTTAGTGATGGGCCTGTGGCACCGTTGACAGAAGTTACATCACTGCCTCCACAAGTATCCAACAGGCCATCATCGGAAATGAAAGCGCCTGCTGAGTCGAGTGGGACCACAGCATCAGATGAGAATGGAAACACCCCGACTAGCAGCACATCAGTTGGTAAGCAGACGCTAGTGACTTGCATCTGAATCTCTTGCACCTTCTGCTTCTTCTCTTTGAATGCAATCATCCCTTGGTACTCATTATATCGTGTCAAGTGCCATGGGTGGCTTGCAAGTATTGGGGGTTCTTTTTTGTGGCGATTCTTGCTCATGCTTTTAAGTGGCCGGTAAAAGGGCGCGGGCTCTTTTTTTTTTTTTTTTTTTTTTTTTTGCACTCACCAAATGGGCTCACCAATGCATATGGTAGACTGTGACAATCGCATTTTCTGAATACTATAACAGCACCACGCACCGCACAGATCCTCCAATTAAAATAAAAAAATTCTCTAACCTGACCAAGCTTCCTTATACGCGCAGTGATGCAAGCTTGCCCATGGGCAACTTGACATACCACTGAGCTCGTCGATTGATCCTCTTCCCTATGAAACGGTGCCTCTGCCTAGTGGTGATGCAGTTTCGACCGCGCAGTCCGCATTTTCATTTCCTTGTGCTGCCCTCTGCCGTTTTATAGAGCCCAGGACTACCGGGAGAAGTGATATTGCCTGAACAGAAGCCTCCGAGAAAAATGGGCATCTGGCTACTTTACCTCTTCGGGGAGGGCGCTCCTTGTACTGTGCTTCTGCATCGCGCTTTTACCGAGCGCTTCTGTGACACGTGCTCATGTGGGGGAAGCCCTGCTCAGTCGTTAGCTGCGGTGCACCAATGACGTATCGCTGACGATGAGCTTTGCATTCTGCCCCCAATGGCGGAGAAGGGTGGTGTGGCTACCCAAAAACTTGAAACCAGCTGAAATTATTGTCTTAAAGCCCTGTAACTTTCTTATTATAGCAGGAATTTGCAAAATTCCTGTGGCGCCATGTTCACATAGCAAAAGTGCGCATATTCCTCTTCATTACAATTTTTGTACCTCGAGGTTGTAAGGGCGAGAAGTAGAGACGATGGCACTCTAGAAGCACACCATAGCTGAACTGTCCGAGTACACCATTTTAAGTATGCAACAAAAATGCATTTGACACGTTGTGCGTTCTTTAAAAAGCTGTCTGAGTACACCATTTTAGCATGCAACGAAAATGCATTTGACACATTGTGTGTTCTTTAAAAAAATATGCAGCAGCAATTATACAAGAAACTTCAAGATCACTTTCAATGCTTATGTTTTAAGTAGCCAGAGCCAAGCCTAGCCACTGTGTAGCCAGTATGCTTGAAAACGCCACACTCTGGTAACTGGGTTTTACAGTGTGCTCACTCTTGTGATATGTGAGAAATCACCAGCGGCCAGTGCAACATGGACATCATAGTCAAGCATTTGATTTAGTTATGAAACACACCAGACATTGTGCAAGGAGACATTATTGCCTTTTACGATCATTTCAAAATATGGCACCAGGATCGATTTGGCATCTTCGGAAGCTGCTTGAAGTTCATGTTGCTATGTAACACTTAATTTGATCTACGCATGCAGAATGAAACTCGCATGCACATGTCACAAATGCAGCTTTTGTGACTTATCAAATATCAAGTCCATGTTGATTGTTGAAATAGCGGTAAAAAAAAACTTCGTAGTGCTACTTTTGTGCCAAAGAAGTGCTCATTTTGAAATAAAATCTTGTTTTAGTGGTCTGCATTGTGTTGTTGCACTTCAAATCACGCACCTGAAAGTGTCTTTCTGATGTTATCGTTGTCATGCTCAATGTTGCCTGCCTTTACTGCGGGGCCACCGACACTTGTAGCAGCAGAGCGAAAGTAGTGGAAGCCACAGCAGCAACAAAGGCCATTTAACAATACTATTCTGCTTGCTTGGTTCAACTGGGCCCCACTAAATGGCATCAACTAACCAGGCGAAAACGGAACATTTGAACCGCTTGCTCCATTCCCCATAGTAACGCTAGGTGGTTCTTTTTTTCTATAAGTCAAACAGAAATGGACAAGCAGTATTTTAATATTCATCTTGATGCACGGAAGGGTCTTTTTTTATTGTAGCTAGTTCAATTACTAGTGATTAATTGTAGTCAGACTCTCTCACGTCATCAGGGTAATATCAAATGTCCCACTCGTGGCGCACGTCATGTAATACATTTAGCCCAATTTCTTGGTAAGTAGGTTGCTGTCCTTGATGATATTGCCTTTTTAGATGTCATACACTGAGAGTTCTCTGTGTGACATAAATTGTCATTTGCCTTTAGTGTCACTTTAAATCAACTAGTATGGTTTCTTCTTTTTTGGTCCTTGTTTTTTTCGTCCACTATTTTCTTCCAAAATGAATAAGCATCAACTAGCCCAACTTGCCATTTTGTTACATAGTTCGGTAAATTTGCTTTTGAACTGGTGCCAATAAAGTATCTGTAGCGAAGCCTCCGAACACTGAAATGGGTCGAACTCTTGAGTACCTCCTAGTGGGGCTACCCAACAAGGACGCCGCTCGCGCTTGAGAGTCCGTGCTTGGTCGTGACTGTCGCCATTTTGTATGCTCCCTGGTTGCCGGCTAATAAACGCCTTAACAAATTGGTGGAGAGTGCTGCGATCTCCTTTGATGCCCTTGGAGCTACGATCACGTACCCTGCCATCTACCATGTCTCACGACGCCTCTCAGCAAACGCCTCCTCCAATGCCACCCCCATGTCCCGGTGTCCCCAGGATCCGCGATCCACCCATCTTCACTGGCGCCGATGGCACTGACGTGGAGGACTGGCTCGCCATTTACGAGCGCGTGAGCGTCCCCAACAAATGGGACGAGGACGGCAAGCTGACCAACTTAATGTTTTATCTTGCGGGTGTCGCCAGTTTGTGGTACAACAACCACGCGTCCGATTTTGCTACCTGGTCCGATTTCAAGACTGCAATCATCAACGTCTTCGGCCGCCCTGCTGTTCGCAAGCTGCAAGCCGAGCAACGCTTGCGTGAACGTGCTCAGGAGGCTGGTGAGTCATTCACCAGCTATATTGAAGATGTTCTGGACCTATGCAACAAATCCAATCACACCATGTCCGAGTCTGACAAGATCCGAAACATCATTAAAGGCATTGACGATGATGCCTTCACGATGCTGCTCGCCAAAAACCCCGGCACAGAGGCTGAGGTCATCACACTGTGCCAGAGCTACGAGGAGCTCCGCCGGCAGCGTTCGATGACCCGACGCTCTCCACCACGAGCTGCAACGCTTGCTGGCTTGGAGGCCAGTTGTGACCAAGTGGCGTTGATGGCAGACCTGAAGTCCTTCATCCGTGAGGAAATCGCGCGTCAGTTCTCGCTCCTGCCCTTTTCCCACCAACCTGCTGTTCAACAATCAGCTACTACCCTTCTCCCTCCCATCCGCCGAGCGATTGAACGGGAAATAGCGGAGGTAATGCCTGCTTACCACCCCCCACAGCCTCCGGCTTCTGCGTCCCTGAGTTACGCGCAAGTGGTCGCCAGGCCGCCCCAAGTCGTTCTAGCACCCGCCCCTCTGACCTACGCTGAAGCTGCTGCTTGACCTTCGTCCTTTGCAGCGGGTATGCCCGCTACGTATGTTGACGTAACCCCTCAGCCTCAGCTTCAGTCCACCATGCAGCCACCGTTCCATCCATCGGCCCTTACGACATGGGTGAGACCTACCCCGGTGAACAGATGGCGCACACCCGACAACCGGCCCATTTGCTTTGCCTGTGGTTACGCCGGTCACGTAGCCCGTTATTGCTATCGCGTACAGCCGGCTCCGATTTCTTCACCTGTTGCTGGCCAACTCAGTCCTCCTTATCACGAAGAACCGCCGTCTATGCCACCTCGGTCTCGCCCAGGTCCATCTTGAAAATCGCCGTCTCCACGATGTCGTTCCCTGTCCCCCATGCGGCCAAGTGCGGCTTCTCATGAGCGGGAAAACTAGTCGTCGCAGTCCCCGAGGCAAGGACTGCGATGCTATTGCAATGTGAAAGCCCTCAGAGCAGCCCCTCAAATGTCATTGACGTGCTTGTGGACGGTGTTTGTGCATCGGCTCTTATTGACACTGGAGCTGCCGTATCAGTTATGGGCGAAAAACTCTGCCGCTTACTTCGAAAAGTGACGACGCCACTTTCTGGGTTGTCCCTCCGGACCGCAAGTTTGCATCGTATTCATCCTACAGCAGGGTGCACAGCTTGCGTTGTCATTCAGGACGTTCTGTATGTTGCCCAGTTCATCATCATTCCGGCATGCTCTCATGACGTCATCCTGGGATGGGGCTTTCTCTCCCGCCATGACGCCGTCATCCATTGTGCCGCCGCCGAAATTGAACTCTCACCCTTCTCGCATTTGACTTCAGAAGACAGTTCCTCGACACTGAGCAAGATTCTAACGAAAGACGATACAACAGTGCCTCCGAACTCGACGACGGCTGTGTCTGCCTACTGCCCCGGTCTCTCCGATACAATTGCACTCGTTTCGCCATCCGACCGTGCTTGTAGCAGGAAAGGGTTGCTAGTACCTTTCGCGACCGTGCAGGTCAACCAGGGCAATGCTGCTATTTTTGTAACCAACCCGTCCCCGCACACTGTTACCTATATTCGAGGCGGAATGTCTCGGCAGAGTGGAACCAGTCGACGACGCACAAGTCCTGGGCGTACCCGATGACACGCGCTGTCCCAGGTCGCGTACCATCAATGCTGTTTCCACTTCTGATCCGTCATCTGCTGATCTCTTTGGCCCCTCCATCGCTGACAACCTTGCGGTGGTACAGTGTTCCGAGCTTCTGGACCTGTTGCAAGAATATCGTTCTTCTTTCAATGTCGGGCGAAGTTTTCTTGGTCGCACGTCCGTTGTTACGCATCGCATCGACACTGGTGCCCATCCACCTTTACGGCGTCCATATCTCGTGTCGCCTGCGGAACATCGGGTAATTAATGATCAGGTTGACGATATGCTCCAACGCGACGTTATTCGGCCCTCAGACAGTCCATGGGCGTCTCCTGTTGTTCTTGTTGCGAAGAAAGACGGTTCTGTGGGGTTCTGTGTGGACTACAGACGGCTCAATAATATCACTTGCAAGGATGTTTATCCACTGCCACGCATCAATGACGTGATTGACAGCCTTCATGGAGCCGATTTTTTTTTCTTCTCTCGATCTGCGCTCGGGGTACTGGCAAGTACCCGTGGCTGACGACGCTCGACCAAAGACCGTCTTCGTCACGCCATATAGCTTCTACGAGTTCAACGTCATGCCGTTTGGTCTATGTAATGCACCTGCGACCTTTGAGCGCATGATGGACACCGTTCTGCGCAACTTGAAATGATACACGTGCTTGTGTTACCTCGACGATGTCATTGTCTTCGCTCCGGATTTCTCCACGCATCTCCAACGTCTGAAAGAAGTTCTGGCGCGTGCGAGCAATGCCGGCTTATAACTAAATCTTAAAAAGTGCCGCTTTGCAGCACGGCAACTCACCATCCTGGGGTACGTCGTGTCGAAAGACGGCATTCTTCCAGATCTTGCCAAGCTTCGGGCCGTGGCCGAATTCCCCAAACCTGCATCTGTCAAAGAACTGCGTAGTTTCGTGGGCCTGTGCTCATACTTCCGACGCTTCATACGAAACTTCGCCACGATAATATCACCGCTGACGAAGCTCCTTGGAAGTAACGGGCCCCTCAATTCGTGGTCATCTGAGTGCGACGACGCGTTCGCGAAGCTCCGCCATTTGTTGACGTCGCCTCCCATTCTACGCCACTACGACCCTACAGCCCCAACGGAGGTGCACACAGACGCCAACGGTGTAGGCCTCTGTGCTGTCCTGGCGCAGCGCAAACCCGGATTCCCTGAATATGTCGTAGCATATGCAAGTCGTACGCTCACGAGAGCCGAGACAAACTACACCGTCACGGAGAAAGAGTGCCTGGCGATCGTCTGGGCCCTTACAAAGTTTCGACCTTATTTGTATGGTCGCCCATTCGATGTCGTCACCGACCATCATGCACTATCCTGGCTTTCATCATTCAAGGATCCCTCATGCCGTCTCGCCCGTTGGGCTCTTCGCTTAGAAGACTACGACATCCGTGTGCTGTACCGCAACGGACGCCAGCATGCTGATGCCGATGCCCTCTCACGCTCCCCTCTACCTCAAGACGACGTGCCCTGCTCAGTAACCTCAATTGCTGTATCTGCCATCGATGTTGACATCCTCGCTACCGAACAGCGAAAGGATAATTGGATCGCCCCGCTGATCGACTTGCTCTCTGCTCCGTCCGCAACACCATTCACGCGTGCCTTGCGTCGTTGAGCTCACCATTTCGCCATCCGTGACGGCCTCTTACACCGACGCAATTACGACTCCGATGGCCGGCAGTGGTTACTCGTCATACCCCGCAGTCTGCGGTCGGAGATATGTGAATCTTTCCATTCTGATCCGCAATGTGCGCACTGTGGGGCATCCAAAACTTACCACCGCATTCGACAACGCTACTTCTGGCGCGGGATGTACCGCTACGTGCAGCAGTTCGTTCGCTCTTGACTCACTTGCCAACGCCGCAAACCGTCGGCACACATGTCGCACGCCGGTCTGCAACCGTTACCTTGCCCTGACCGTACCTTTGGCCGCGTAGGTATCGATTTGTATGGACCACTTCCTCTGACATCGGCTGGTAACCGCTGGGCCATCGTTGCCGTAGACCATTTAACGCGATACGTTGAAACCGCCGCTCTCCCTGCGGCTACTGCGCGTGATGTTGCGTCCTTCCTGCTGCATCGATTCATACTGCGCCACGGACCACTCCAAGAGCTTCTCAGCGATAGAGGCCGTGTCTTCTTGTCAGAAGTCGTCGAAGCCATTCTGACGGAGTGCCATTCTGTCCACCGCTAAACTACTGCTTACCACCCGCAGACGAATGGCCTCACCGAACGCTTTAACCGCACCCTCGGCGACATGCTCTCGATGTACGTCGCTGCCAACCACACGAATGGGGATAATATACTGCCTTTCATCATCTACGCCTACAGTACTGCCCCTCAGAGCACGACTGGTTTTTCACCTTTCTTCTTGCTGTACGAAAGGCACACGTCACACACCATGGACACGGTACTCCCATACACGCTGGATCCATCTGAGTGTACACCTATTTCCGAGACAGCCAGGCTTGCTGAAGAGTGCCGCGAGCTTGCCAAGACTTTTACGACGCAAGAGCAAAAGCGGCAGAAGAGTATTCGTGATGGCTCCACCACTTCTTCTGATGGCTCCCTCTTCGACCCCGGGGTAATTGTAGCGAAGCCTCCGAACTCTGAAATGGGTCGAACTCTTGAGTACCTCCTAGTGGGGCTACCCAACAAGGACGCCGCTCGCGCTGAGAGTCCGTGCTTGGCCGTGACTGTCGCCATTTTGTATGCTCGCTGGTTGCCGGCTAATAAACGCCTTAACAAATCAAATATTTTTATATTTCTTAATAGCTGCGGCTAAATGTAAATTATTAGCACGAAGTTTGAGTGGTGGCACCTTGTGTGAAAAAAGAACCCTCACCTGTAGGACCAGTGGTGGTTGTATGAAGCTTTGGAATTTTTACTCAACTAACACACATTGGTGATCCCAATTCAGTGCTGGCACAAAGTTTCTAATGATCATGTGCATGTGCGTGGATGCTGCATGTCTTACAATCATGTTGGGTTCTCATGTTGTTGCTCAGCAGAAGAAATCGTGCCAGATTCCACCAGTGCCGATATGGTTCCCACAGTGGAAAGCCAGGTTGACATCTTGGATTGCTCCTCCGAGTTTCCTTGGAAGCCAAGAACTAGAGAGAGCGTTGCCTCCAGACTACCAGGTGGGTCCTTGACTTATTGAATTAATGTGGAATGTTGTAATGCTGTTGTAAGGATTTTTTGAAACATTATTACTTTACTTCAGTAGATAATTTTATTGTGAAGGCTTCCCACTAATTTCGTAGCTCTTAATGACCTTTTAGTTCGCTATTTAATGTGCCACGGGGAGGCACTTTTAATGTTTTTTTGCTCGTCACATTAACCAGGAAAATCTAAGTGTAATAAAAGATTTTTCTTCTTTATTTTTTTAACTTTAAAGACGTGAAGCTTCTGATTTTTTAAAACCTTTTTGCAACCGAAAAAGAAAAACGCCAAAAAAACTTGCCATAATCAGTGAAAAAGTTGTTTGCTCAATTTCCTGAGCTTTTTTTTTTTATGAATAAAACGATACTATTCTTTCAATTCAGTGGCGTTTCTTTATTCTAATCACATTGAAAAATAACTGCAAGGTGGCTTCACCGCATGGGAATGAAATGAAAGACCGCTTTAAAATTGAATGAAAGTCGGGGCGGCATAAACACAATTATGGTGAATATAGAGTGCATTTCTTTCGTGCGGGACCAATTTTTGTTGATACGACTAGATAGACCAGTGGTCTGGAAAGGGTTAATACGGGTGGATACCAGTTTTTCAGCCTTAAGTTTGCCTTTCCAGTTTTTGCTCTATCATCATCAAGATTCGCTGACGAGAAAGCATGGTCTTGCGGTAGCATTAATAGGCTGCTATTTGTTCCAACCTGCATCACTTTAGCCACATCAACTGTGAAATGCACTTGTGTGAGCAATTGACATATTTGCAAAAAGGTGCATCTTGCATGATGTTGGAATTGCAAAAGCACTACTTAGCTGACTTCATAAGAACAGCTATTTTAACTGACTGGACCATCCGGAATTGTCCGGCTACAGGGCGGAATTTCGGCATCGCCAACAATAGCGTTCGCAAGGGGAGGTCAGCGAAAGGGGGCAAATTTTTTATACAGCAGCTTGTGAACTTGCTTGTGAAGCAAGTTTCTAGGTGCTAGAAAAGTCTTCTTAGAGATTGAACAGAACCTCATTGCTTTATGCAGTGCTGACAGCCTGCACACCTGGCTGTGCATGTCAGGAAGATTGTAGCAGCCCAATGTCATCAATATCTCAGAGACTTCTGGAAAGCAATGAAGAACAGCTTGTGGCTCTAAACAAGTTTGCATAAGGTCGAGTTGCCGTGAGAAGGTGCTAGTCACTAATGTTTTCTTGTGCGGCAGAGGTCAAAAGCTTTCACTCTACATAGTGTTGAAGTAGGAGAAGCTGCCGAAAATTGAGATCTTAAAAAATGTTGTGCATTGTCAGGACAACGTGTAGAGGATCGGAGTACTGGTGCCTGATAGGCTAAACTGTGTTTACTGTTGGTGGCTTGGTATACTATTAGTTGTATCACTACTTGTGTTGGACGCTTTTTTCTGTCACCTGGCAAATTCCATTATAAAAATACTGTCCAAATCTGGCATAGAGCTTACTGTCAATCGTGGAAGGTTGACATCCCGGTTGCAACAGCTTTTGATGCCTTTTAGCGACTGAATTAAGTGCTGTTACTCGGTGGATGAGCTTGGGAGACCTAGAAATGACGGCTATGGAATGGCTATAATGAGCCTCTGTTTAGGTGATATGGTGTAAAATATTGCCATAAATGCACTTGTGTGAATTTTCTGTGTCAAGCAATTGTGTAATCTTGCTGGAAGGCGTAGATGCACTTCTGTGAGTGGTCAGCAGCTTGAACTTGTTCTTGCATTTTAAAGGGACACAAAGAGAAGCAATGACTTAGTTCACATTGGCAAACTGCACTATGAGAACTCTAATGTCATATTTACCTATCATAAGTTCATTATTACTGGAGAAAATCAAGTTTAAAATCACTTTAAATTTCACTCCGAAGTCTCCGTGTGTGACATCAAAAATTTCAACATGCATTTTTCCTGTTTTCGCAGTGTGGGCTTCATGAAATTTTTTGAAACTTCATTCACTAGATCTGTGGCACCCACTGATGGCAATATACTGTATAAACCATTTTTATCAATTAGAAGCCACGTAGAAACCAGTAGGAGCCTTCAAAATTTATGACGTCACTGTGTTTTGGTGTGGTAATCAAAAGGAGCAGTCTCCACCCACATTTTCTTTTTGAACATTTTCTCGCTCATCAAGTGTTGTGTTGCGGTAAAAGTGTTGTATCCGGTATTGTGAAAATATACTTGACTAATACGCGAAAAAATTTTTTGCTCAGCTCAGCACTGATGATAAACTCAGGAGCAGCATGTCTTGCTGCAAAATGAACTCTCAGAGAAACATTAGGACTAGGGAGACTCTCGGAGAAAGTTGTGAACTAGGGAGTAGGTATTGTCAGGGGTGAGACAGCTGCGCATAATGCGCGTTTGTGATGCGTTTTCATTTACTTGGCTGAGCTGCTTCAAAAGCGTAAAATTAGTGAAAATTGTCCCAAAATGCTCCAAAACAGCCTCAATTGCAAGAATTTTAATGCCAACCTTGGCTTCAGTGGGGAAAAAAAGGCAGAGTTGACCACATGATATTCCAAGCAGCATCAGGAACACTAATGAATAAGACACACCCGAGCTTGTTTTTTGTTTTTTTTTTTTTTTTTACTCGCACCTTTCTAGTGCCATCATAATTTCCTCGGAATCTGTTGTAAATATTTGTGACCTCGCAAAAATGTGCTGCCGTGAATCAAGCATGTGGGTTCTACTAGCTTGGCTGTGTGTTCTGGCACCACTTTTGCTTAGTCAAAACCACCGTGTAGGCATGCGTAGCAGGGTTGACTTTCAAGTTCTTTGTTGTGCGTAGAATGTTCCTCTGGTCATTGCGGTTTTTATGTTGACGCTGTTGCGTGCACTCACCTACGTGTGTGGGTTTGCCATGAGCGAGTGCCTTGTCGCGTAAACGTGAAGTCATCCCACTGCATGCAACACCTCTTCTGGATGCTCTGGCCGGTGGGTTCTTAAACTGGGCTCCGTGAGTGACAGAATGCGTGCAACCCGCTCCCGGTTTACCCTCGCTAACAATGAGTTTATTTAGACACACAAGTTGTTATTGCATTTTGCATTTAAAGAAGCCATCGCACTTTAAATACACACATCGATGTCTGCAGCTATTTAGAGGCCCACTTGGTTGGTTATTTGCGAATCCCAACGGAGGCAGAACTCATGTTCAAAGCAGTATAAGATAATAATGGGCGCCTCGGCGCTTTATTCGCAACTCATGACGCAGCGGTGATCACGCTGCGTATTTTTCGAAAATGGTGATTCGCCACTGCTTCATTTTGTAATCAAAACTTACAACGACCGCTTTAAAAGGCGCTGCCGTGTGCCGGGTCTGGGCTACACGAGCTTTTGGGCTTCGCTTTACCGTCGGCAGCCGTTCCGCAGTCTGAGTGGCATACATTTATTTTTTTTTTTTTTTCGTTTTGCAACAAAACCGGCCTCTGCATTATCAGTGGCTTGTTCACCTGCGCAGCGCACTGTGAGCGCATTACGGGAGTCGCAGAGCAGTGCGGGCGGCTATCGCGAGTCTATGAATATCGAGACTTCTACACCAACGGTGATGACCTACAATATTAAAGAAAATAGAGCAGGCCAATGTGGGCAGTATTAATAACACGTGGTTGTGTGTGTGTCGAGAGGTGTTAATGAGTACCATTTGTTTATCGCTTGGTGTCGCACGCATGTGTTTTACAAGATAGTCGGTGCGGCGAGGTTTCTTGGCTCCCGCACCGTACTCTTGAGAGTGTACCCGCACGAGGTGGCCGCGAACGGCACAATTTGTTTTTGCAAGCTCCTAGGATGACATGTAAATGCCGCTAACTGCTCCAAAGTAAGGTTCGTGTGCTCCAAAATTGAAATTTTGCTGCTCCGAAAACTGCTCCCAATTCAGTCTCGGTCATCTCACCCCTGTGCTGTGCAAGTATTGAATTTAGAAACGAATCGAATAATATTAGAATCGTTTTCGAACAGTAAGGCAACAATTTTCAAAGCAGGCTTAGACTGGTAGGGTGACAATTTCAAAACATCCTAACAATTCCAAAACCTTTTATTTGAAACATTCACGTTCTTTAACAAAGGCACATTAGGATTGTATTTAACGTATTGAAAAATGCTACAATAACTTAAACTGAGCAGCAACGAAAGCTCTTGCAATATTTTATTACTGCAGACATAAATGTGGCAGCAACAACAGTAGTAAAAGCAGTATGTTGTCATCGGCTTTTAAATAAAACTGATGCCTAAATAATATACAATGTTTATGGGTTAATCATCAGAAAGTGCTGCACTTATTTAAAGTGAGCAGTAATGAGAGCTTTTATAATATGTTTTAACTGCAGATTGAAAAAATATGGCAGCGACAACAGTAATGAAGGCGGTATGTAGTTATCAGCTTTTAAATAAAACTAATACTTATATATTAAGCAATTTTCATGAGTTAACATCTAGAGTTTCATAGTGAAGATAGTTGATTTATGTTGCCTATCGTTGATTGCCGATACTTCTGCTTCAGCGACACTGGATGACTCACCTTTATCTTATGGTCAAAGGGCATCGATGGTGCCTTAAGTATATGGGCTACAGGCATATGGGTTATTCAATCACGAAAATAAGAAAAGTTACCCCTTGCTGTTCCCACATCTCATTCCTTGGTGCATTTTTGTTGTTGCTGATCATTTGATAACTATCAAAAATATTTGGAATTTCAAATTTGTGCTATTTGATTTTAGTGCTGTTTGATTCATTATGCAAAATTTTAGAATTGCACACCCCTACTAGAGAGATGCATTTATCTAAACCCAATGACTGCAAAAGTATTGTGTATTGATAGTTTTCCCTTTTTTTTTTCTCCAGCTGCCAAGTGGCACATATTTCTTTGTAGCTAAGTAATAATAGTAAGCAGAACTTTGTATGTTTCTTGGTGATGTTTTCCGTACGTGTATTTCTTGCTTGTACGAGTCTGAAAAATATGCATGGCACTTTTACAGAGGGTCACTTCCTCTTTACGCCACCATCCACCTACATCTTCTCCGGGGCAGAAGTCTATGTGGACTCTGAAGATTCTGACAGTCCTGGGGCCTCCTTTACTGGTGAGGAAGAGGAAGAAGCTGAGTCTGATTCTGAGTCATCACGCTCATCCTTCAGCTCAGATGAGGATGGCAGCCCTGCACACACATCTGGCCTGGAGAGTCCATCACAGGGAAACACCATGGACTGTGACCAAACTGAGCAAAGTTCTGCCGCAGCAAGCACTACACCGCTTGTTAGCAACCTAAATGAGTCTATTGTCATCAAGGCACGTGTTTCTGAAGAAGAAGGCTCCAGTGATGTCGAATGCAACACTCTTCGTTGCTCCTGAGGTCCTGGACTCCTCTGCCCGTCAAGAACCACGGCTCCTTGTCTTGCTTATTTATTGGTAGCGCATCCCCCACAGTCTTATGCAGTCAGCCTCTCCTGCAGCCAGTAGACTTGCGTATAAGCAGGTCTGTTGGTCTTGCACTCCATTGGTTGTTATAAATGGTTTTTGGCTTTGTGTTCTCCTGCATTGCCTTGGGCAAGATCCTTTGGGGCAAGTGTTAACATGGAGGTGCTGTCGCACATTTCCTCTGAGTGGCTGTGGGCTGGCTGCATGTTCTATCATCCCGATGGTTTCTTGCTTTTATGAGTCATTCACAGTCTAGGGCAGCATTCTCATGCTAATGTTATTACATACTGTTTTCCTTATGAACTGTATTGCATCTTCTCTGAGATACTGTGCTCAGTCAGTGCATGTCACTTAGGCAATTCTGTTGAACCTGGCTGCAATGCATGTTGTCCAAGTGCAGCTCCAGAACATTTGTGGTGTTTCTACTACTATTCTCAATGAAGAAGTTCTGTGTCATGTTGTGACTGTTGTGTACTGCTTGCCCTCGTGGGATGGAAATGTTGGCATACAGCCCCCCAGCCAGTACACATGATAGAGACACTTTGCCAAGACTCTATGAGGTCCCTTGCCACAGTATGCGTGTACATATGCTAACCCTTTATGCTTTTTGGAAGCATTTTTTATACTCATGTTTTTGTTACTTTGTTGAAATGTTTATATACTGTCCTCATATTTTACTTTCAGAATTTTCTATGTATCTTTATTTTCATAGGTAATGATTTAAGACACGCGGTGCAGAGGATTCAGTTGGGATGGTGTAGTTGTTGGTTTTGTACACAAAATGTAAATATGCAGTTCTGTTGTCTTAAGCCATGTGTGTTTATGCTGCCTCTGCACATTTTGCAACACAATTATTGCATACAATTTATCCATTTGCACGGTACCACTAAGTCTTATACACCTTTGTGCTGTTTCCGTTGATTAATCACTCTTCGCCCTTTCTTATATATTCTTATTGTGTGAATACTTGTGTGCATGGTAAATTATGGAATTCAACATTGTAAGGTACATTTGCTTGTATGCAGTCAATCATGTTGAAAGGCAGACTTGTTTACTGTCTCATGATTTTATGAGAAACCAGAGAAAAGAAAAAAAATGTAATTTTCTCTTTACGATGCATATTGTTAACAGCTGTGAACGGTGTGTTGCAAGAAGTTTGGCTTCACTCAGAAGTGTGGTAGCCTATGGGGGCCCCTAAGCTCGGGTCAACCTTGCTCAGGTTTGGGTGTAAGTTTCCTAGAAAGCACATGCTGTGGGCCTATCCTCATAACATTTTATTTCTCCTTGTTCTTTCAGAACTTGTGTTACTTTTGTCTTAGGCAATATCCTTCATAGAGCTGTCCAGCTTATAGGTTTTCTTTTTTTTAAGGCTGTTATCACAATTGCTGCTGTGTATGCATCCACACCCTTGCCTCTGCATTGCTGAGTTGTTTGCTGTTATTGTGATGCTTTGGTAGTGCAGCAGCAATGACTCAATGCCTAGAGACTTGTATCATCCACTACAAATTGGTGGCTTGTCATTAGTATCGAGAATGAACACTGGCGTCGCTGCAGCTTTGGCGAAGTAACGTAATAGTGAGGACTCGCCTGCTTCGCTGCCGACGCATGCACACAGCTGCTTCCATCCGAGCCCGGCGCATACCCACTCTTCCGCAATACGGTGGTGATTTCTCATCTCAATTGTGCTGTGTAGATCTCGCAAGGTACAAAGTGAAAGTATTTATTATCATCAAAAGTTAACTAAGCAGCAGAAAGTATGGTTAATATAGCTTAGGATGGGGAACTCCCATCTGAACAGATGATCCACTTTGAAAAATAGTGTGTAGAACTGCGAGACATCAGTTTTTTTCACCGTGCACGTAATCCACAAAATTGGTGCTAAGAAAATATCCGTGCGAAATGGGTCTAACTTCATTACAACTTGGGGTAGACTACTTGATTGAACATGTGTTGCAAAGTATTACAAATAAAATTAGGACGTTTTAAGTTTACTAACAGCATTGCGATTTACCGTGCAAGTTATGTCTGCCTCTGTAAATAATGTAGGTCATTTGACAGAATTCCATTTCTACTGCAGGAGACTATATAAATATGTCTGTCGCACACAACCAGTTTTAACATTAAGGAAATTTAAGTAATATGCTGCAACGTGCACAATGGTTTCTGGTATTCTGAGACCTAGGTATACTTTGATCTTATTGGCAGATTTGTCTTTAGCAGTCATCAGGGATTATGTAGTCGCATACCCTGATTTACGCAAATAGCTGACTCGATCTACCGCCATACAGCAATTTGAAGACAAAGGGCGTAACATCATTTTCTAGTGGCTTCCAGGCCACTTTGGCATGCCTCCCACCTGGCGGTGCCACTCCAACTTCTCGGGGCTAATAGTGTCACATTGTGACAATATTTGAATGGTTTGCGCTCTTGCATTCATGACAAGGTGAAAATCTATACAGAATTAATGGCGATACAATTTTCTGTGCCGTCAAACACAAGCACTTTGAAAAAACGCACAGCAGCTTTTGGAGTTACGTTGCACATATGAGTTTGATTCACTCTGTATCTTTTTGTTGCCACATTTATGTCCATGTTATGTTTTATGTCCAGTCGTGGGCATTGTCTTGCTTTCTCTTGTGTTAGAGCATTCTACAAAGTATAGGGCTGAGTGCAATTGTACATGTGTGTGTACCCTGCCATTTCTTATTTGTCAAAGATGTTCCTTTGTATCTGTTGTTTTAGTTGTCATCGGTGAGCGAAATTGTCACTGTTAGAAGTGTATTCTTCAAGCTACTGCTCTTGCAGGACTAGCAGCAATGTTTTCCTCTACTTGCCCATTTTGTCTTAGTGAGTCTGAACATTTCTGGAATGGCAGAGTCTACCAAAGCTTCTGGAACGATGATGATTGTGTAGGTGGCCGATTTTTGGAACTGGCAAAATCCTTACTGTTTTGATCTAATAAACTGTTTGTCCTCAGTTATTGGGTGTAAGGAACCATTATTACTTTTTTTCATTGCCGATCAGTTGATTCTTGTAATATATGCTGAAATATTTGTAAATAGCTTAATATTCTTGTGTTGTGACGTATTTTTTAATGGTTTCTGTATATACCCCTGCACCTTATTTATTAAGTGTCTAGGAAAGGGTGTACCCTTCTTATTCAACACTTGTGGACTAAAATTAACACTGGAAAATGAAATGAATGAGGTAGCATTAGGCCTTGTCTACTGTCTATTACATTGTTGTGTGCTTGGTGGTTTTATGTAAAAAAAATACAATACCGTTATCTTTCTATGTGTCTGACTCTTTAGATTTCAGCGTAATGTTCCGGTGTCCTTTTGGCTTGGAACATTTGCCACATCGTTCATTGCACGTCTAGCACTACTTTTGAGTGAAATATTATGCACAAATCAACAAACTAACCCAAAACATTAGTATGTACAGGGCTGGTCAAAAATTTAAAGGCAGCTATCCCCTGTAACCTTATGGCAGCATGGCCTAGGAACTTTTGACCTCTCTGCACTTTACTGTTACAAAGTGATCGGGTCTTCCAAAATACTTTGTTTTTGAGTTTATAGGTTGTCTTGTTATGAGGATACTGCACCACACATCCTTGGCACAGCAAAGCATTTTGAGAAATATAACCACTATATGGTGCAAAGTGTTTATTTGGCCAGCAAATGTCGAGGTTATTCAAATTTTTATTCACTGTGTTGGGATTACTTTGGCAAGAAAAATATAAACGTAAGGTTGTGAAACGAAAAATGAAGTTGACAAAATAATATGTTTGAAGTCTCTGCAGTCTGATTGTAAATTTCAGAAATGCGATCCATTTCGTTCTAATGAAATACTTGTTAGTGTCTCAAAAGCTGTCGTTCTTAGTCAAAGTACATTAGCTTATTTGGGAAGGAACGTATTATGCTTTGCTTTAGGTACTTAACAGGACAGCTCTTCAAACACTTCGCTGATGGTGGTTGTTGCTCGTTATTTCTATTCATTTCTTTATTTCAATACACTGCAGGCCAACTTGGCACTAGCAGGAGGGGCAGTACACACAAAAGAACAAAATACGAAGATGGCTTAATACATGCAATGATACACTTTTGAACATGGGTGCATAAAATTGATACTGCTCATACATAGAGCAAGTAAAACAACATCAGCACTTAGGAAACAACTATTCTAACAAAAAATGAGCTCTTCCATAGCTTGGATGAAGTGTGGTGACGTAATGACTGATCTGGCAGTCTGTCCCCGTGCTCTATATTTTCGATAAAGAAGCTGTTCTGAAATGACTTAGCAAAAATCGGTTTAGGTACATGAGGTGTAGTGTGTCTTGCTCTAACAAGACGAAGGTATGACAAGTCACCTACATTCAAGCCACGAGCTAATATGTTATGTAGAAACTTTATGCGATAAAATTTTCTTGAGGTCAGAAAAGAAAATATTTTGTTTTTGATCATGAAGGCACAAAGAGAATCTGTTTGCTTATATTTATTAAGAGTGAATGTAACAGCCTTGCGTTGAATCACTTAGAGTCTATTAGTGTCTTTTGACGTATGTGTGGTCTAATTATATTTCTATAATTGTTGGGAGTTGCTGCTGAGCTTGCCGACCAGCTAGCGGGTCGCCATCTAAGCACATGAGGTTCCGCTTGATGGCACAAATATCTGTGTGCTGTTTTATCGTGTCATACAAGACTTTTTATGCCTACGAAACCACCGGTGTATGGCAGCCGTAAAGCCTGTAGTGACATATTTTGCATACGTAGAGCACATAAAACTGCAGTTTTCATATTACAGCCAAAGCTGTTATGAGATCATTACTCGGGTCACGCGCAGTTTTCCGCCGCCGCCAGTGTCCGTAACCACATCGTGCGAAATGAGAAAAAAAACCTAGCACAAATGACACAGTGGAGCTCGAACCCGGGTCCGCTTGGTGCGAGCACACCATTCTACCACTGAGCTACGCCAGTGCTTGTGGCTTGTTGGCAAACTTGCCTTAGGCAGGCCTAATGTCGGGAAAGCAATTGCAATATGACTTTAAAGCATTTTAAAGGAGCAAAGGAACGACCAGTCGTTGCACAATGCGAATAGCGTAACGAATGGGTCATTCAGTGCTCCAACCCATTACAAAAGCTCACGCTTGTTCACCTATTAACTGTGGCGCACCACACTTCAGGCATAGTTCTTCATCGTCGCCAGCCACTGCATGAACAATTGGCACAAAATGCCTCGCAAGTGTTTATACCATGCTTCTCAGAAGAATGAGAAAAATAGCATAGCAAATGCAAGCCTAATACCAAAAAAAATCATTATTAATGCCCTGGTGGGTATCTAGCAAGTGAGTTTGCAGTAGTTAGCCAATGAGTGTTTCGAAAAGGCTCTGAAAGGCCGCTCTTCTAGCTTTTGCTGTGACTGTGCTGCGCCTTCCGCGAAGGCCTGGCGTTTTTCTTATCTGCTAGCACAACGCGTTTGTTATATATATTCTAAACAATGTGCAATAAATTTTTTTAAACGAGAGAACACTTGCTCCTCCAAAATGCCCCAGACGTTTTGTATTATCGTTTGGTAGTGACTATAAAGAAAACAGTTACATTTTTAGATACAAAACTATATATTATTGGGCTTACTTATGCCCAGAAAACTAAGTAACTGAAAGTACAAGCAAAGCATGCTGTGCTCAGATAGAAACAGCAGATGTTATCAGCCTTCCGTAAGGCATATCATCAGCCTTCCGGCAGATACGCCTTGTTTTATGCATCAGTGATCACACCTTTCTGCGAAACCGCCCCTAGACACGTAAACTCCCAAGCTGCAGTCAACATCTTATGCATGTCCTCAAAAGGTACAAACGTCCTCGTCCCCTTAGCAGCATCCTGATAATCCTCTCTGGACATTGCTTGCGTGATTATCTTCAAAATGTTCTCATGCAGATGGGTTTGAAACAGCAACTAGCTTGGCTGTTCATCAAGGGAAATTGATTTGTGAAATGAATGCAATTTGACTGCAGATTTATTATAAAAAAACATGGCCGAGGCACATGTTTTGCCTTATTTCGAACGAATACGCATGTTAATCGTCGACGTGACAATGGTACGCAATTCGTAGGGTTAATATATGGTGGTCTGTGAGGTGCTTATACTATGTGGGGTGGGCAGCCACAAATATGTTTGTTAGTCAGCATTAATGAGCGTAATCTGGTGTGGACTCCTGAAGAGTTGTGGCTTGCCTCTGCTGACACCAGAAGTGGCTCTTCTTGAACAGAATCGGCAACTCCCTTCCATGTTGAGAATTAAAGTCGCATGGCTAGATTGGCAGTTATTGCTATTTCATAACAATTTCGTGCCCCTTGTATTCCATCACCTTTCAACTTATCTCCCTGTCCGGGTGGTAATGACAGTTTAAGAAGTGCGTGCCTTTGTGTTTGGCCTCTTTTTTTACATCAACTTCACCATACACTGTAGCCTCAGCAACTGCTGTAGCTTAAGTTAGAGTGGCTGGGGTGGAAAAAAACGATCTTTCACTCATTTCTAATTTGAATTCAAAATAAATGTTTAATGATCAAACATAATTAACCAAGCCGAATGTTACAGTGATAATTTTTTGCGAAATGACATTTCTCGAGTAGCATTTCCCCTTAGTGATATAGCATAGGTTTTAACAGCAGTGCATGTAATGATTACAAAAAGTAAAGGAATGAAATCTGATCAAAAATCAACTCCCTGCTATAAGGGCCAAAGCAAGATTCATAGCATAATGCGTTCAGTACTTTGTCAATCAATCTATATATGAGCCATAACATATATCTAGGTCAAAAGAGCAAGTTAGAAGAAGATGCAATTCGAAAAAAAAAATTGCTTTAATCTGTAGGCTCTTAGCTAAAGCCACAACCCTCGCGCGAAACTCTCCGCTTGTTATAGCAGGTGACTTCAATGTCCCACACCCGTCATGGGGTTACCCCCAGGCAACGGCAAAAGGCACCAACCTCACGCAAGCAATAGACGACCTATCCCTCACACTCATAACAGATCACTGATTCCCTACGAGACTTGGCACATCGGTACAACGTGACACTACGCCGGGACTTGGTATTTATCTGTAAGGTCACAGGCCACACCTGGACCAATACGCAAGTGAACTTGGGCAGCGATCACTTCATCATACGTACCGAACTACTCGACGCATCATCCCCACCACGTACATTCACACTAACGGACTGGGATGCCTTCCTCACCCTCCGCAAAAACAGCACAAAGGAATACAACACATTCACTGAACTACTCGCCTCAATTCAGGAAGACATAGCGAAAACAACGAAAACCCTACAAACAGAACTAGAGGTCTCGAGAATGGAGCCACACCTCGTACATTTGCTCCAGGCAAAAGCGTAAATACTCGCGCGCTAGAAAACAACGACTAAACGGACGCTTACGAAAACGCGTTTCATGCAGTACTAAACCAAGACGTCGCAAAATATTGCACGGAGCTCATATGACCCCAGTGGCATGAACTCTGCCCGACAGTCGACGGCCGCATGAGAACTGGGGGTAAATCCATGGAACCTCCTAAAATACATGTTTGACGACCGCCAAACAAAAGACAACCAAAGTCATGCCATAGACCGTCTCCTACGTACTCGCACAAAAAGACGGGAGGAACGGAATCATCTTTTCTTGAAGAAATTGCCAAACGACACCTCCCCCTAAAGACTGCACAACCCATCGACTACCCACAAATAGAATGCGAAACAATACCCGAACTCGACAACCCCTTCACGGAGCTCTGAAGTTCGGGAAAAATTACACAACCTGAATAGTCGATCGGCCCCCGGTCCTGACAAGGTAACCAACCGCCTGTTGCGGAATTTAGACAACCAAGCGATCACACGACTCACAAAAGACATTAAACACATGTGGGAAACCGGGCAAGTACCTGAACAATGGCGCACGGCCATGGTAATCCTTCTCTCAAAGCCCGGTAAACCACTAAACTTCGACAATCTACGCCCTATCTCCCTAACCTTAAAGCAGCTGAACACGCCATCCTAAATTGTGCATCGCGTTACATAGAGGATCACGGACTCTTTCCATTCAACATGTTCGGGTTCCGTCCGCACTTATCAACAAAAGACGTCATGCTATTACGAAAGAAACAGACCTTCGACTCAAAATGGGAGATGTTTGTGGCATCCTCACCCTATAGACTTCACTAAAGCATTCGACAGCGTCTCCCACGGCTTTATACTGGAATCCATTGCCATCCTCAGCCTCGGTAAAAGATTCCAGGCATACATTCGTTCTTTCCTACAAGACCGAAAGGCCAAGATTCGAATATCGCAACTTGCATCCGACGCTGATACATTAGTTTCCAACGGGACACAACAAGGGGCAGTCATTTCTCTACTCCTTTTTAACATAGTAATGAAGGGACTGTCTGCCAAACTCCGCGACACCCCTAGCATAAACCATGCTATATACGCAAATGACATCACCATCTGGTGCCCGGGAGACTTGGCGGAGTTAGAGAAAGCCCTTCAAACCACTCTCGATACCACAGAAGCATACCTCAAAAATACTGGACTGCGACTGTCACCCACGAAATCAGAGTTGCTGCTCTACCGGCCATCTCTCCAAGGCGTTCAATTTAACGCCCTTACATGAACTACCCATGGCGCTACACGCCAAAGACGGGCAACGAATACCCCGCGTGGACTCCATACACATTCTCGGCCTCCTAATCGAGGCCACTGGCTGTCATGCACGATTACCCAGACAACGCTCCGACAACCTGAGGTTGTCCTGAGGATGACCTACACCGTACGAAAGTATGACCTGAGGAAGCCCTCAAATGAACCTCAAGTGGTCCTAAACCAGTCCGTTTGTCCGGCCTCAGATCGTCCTCAGGGCATCCAGAAAAGAGCACATTATGATGAGTCTAGTACTTTTTGAGGACGAAGCATACAAGACCTAGGCACTCATCAGACCTTACGAAAAGTTGCTCTAATTCTTCTTTTGGAGCGCTGAAATGACAACTGATCAATCAAAAGTGCCTGAACATGCACACTCTTTAAAGCACTGCCTGTGAGGTTTCAGTAACAATTTCTTCAAGTATAGCAATAAAAACAGCAATGCACAGAAAACATGTTTATTTTCAGGAATGAAACTTGGCAGTTTTCACTAGATGAGACTTCTTGCCCTGTGCCTTCAGAGGTCTTCATCCGATGGGCTTGACAACGCGACACTTTGAAGACATTCTGTAGTAATAGAAAGCAGCATATCTTGAAGCACAAGTGAATTTAGAGTATCAATAAGAATATTAAGACAATAACAGCATGCCAGATTTGAAAGCATAAAATGAAAATTATATTACCATAATGTGCAGGTACGAACTAGCCATTATATAATGGTGAAAATGATTTATATAGTTCATGCTTGCATACACATCAAAATTCGAGTAAGGCAAGAAAATTATTTAAACTATAACAGCAAAAGTATCATATGTTATGATAGCTTCAACAGCACAGATAATAAAACTCACCCTCATGGTGAGTGCGAGAAGTTCTTAAGCGCTGCTTCTGGAGCTTTTCCCCAGCATGCCGAAGCCACACTTTAATCACACACTCGATGTCATTTTTTTTTGTTTCCGGAAAATTTCGCCTCACGGCCTCTGAAAAAGTACAAAGTTCATAAAACAGGAATTACACAATTCAGGAATTGCAGTTTCTCCAATGGTAATCCCTGTTGTGATAGCAGCATTTATGTCACAAACAAATGGTCGCAAAAAATCATTCGCGTTGTTGGGCTTGCTGCTTCCGAAAAAAACACCCACTATAAATGGTGCTTTGTCCTCCAAATTACTTATGCGTCCCAGTATGCACCAAAATTGGCCCCGTGAACTTTTTGAAACCGGCAGACCGTCAATGTTGAAGCTAAGCTTCAAAATTCTTGGTAGTTCTGCACAATCTTGCAGCACTCGCTGTAGGCCTGCACTGAGGCCGAAATGATGGTATTTCCCGCCGGCCAGCTGCAACACTTCCAGGCACTTCTTGGGCGTCTGTAACAATGCCCTTGCAGTTGAAGGGAGCGCGCTGAAGCATTCGTGGGACTGTAGTACTCTCAAGAGCGATGTAACTGAAGTGTGCGATGCGCGAGATTGTAAGGCCCACGCTTGCAGTCTCTCACGAAAGGCCAGCAAGCTGTCCACACTGCCGCGTTCACAAACTTGCTCTTCGTTACTCCCAGTCGGTGCCAATTCGAAAGAATCCCTCTGCCTCACCTGCGAGGTCGCCGAAGTCGAAGCCGCAGCGCTGCTGTCATGGAAGGCACGCCGTTCGAAGTCTGTGTGATCGTGAGGCACAGAAACACTGCAGCCGCTGGGGTAGCACGCGTCGCCAGAAATCAAAACGTGTCCTTGGGGCACATCCGTTTCTGGAACGATCGAGGAGTGTGCCGAAGGCCGTTCTCTGTCATGAACACAAAGGCGACGATGGCCGTCTTCGAGGTCGACCGCACAAGCCTCGGAGGGCAAGTCGCTCTCTCTTTCGGCGTTGCGGGAATCTCGGTCAACGTACCGCGTGTCATTTATGACATCGGCCTCACTGTCAATAAGCTGAAAACTAGCATTGACGCGCCGATTAATTTCACGCCGAAATTTGCGATCCGCGCTCTCAGCCATCTTGAACAGCACAGAGCACAGTAGAATGGTGGCTAGACCAAAGAACACCCACCACCAGAACACGTTGTTAGGCTAGTCAGTTGGTTTGTACATACATACATGAATAAGCAGTAAAGATATACAGCGCGAGGCTGAAAATCAACTGTCCTCTCTTTTTTTATTTATTTACCTTTGCGGCTTACAACTTCAATATGAAAATTTAACAGAAGACACTCACCTGGCATGCTTACGATTCTTTGAGGGCTTCTGCGAGAAGCTTCCTCTATGGCGAGAAGTGTTGTATTGGAATGTTGACTCGACCAATGACTCGACTTGACTTACTGCAGGCCCATAATGATGATGATGATAGTTGCGTCACTTTAAAATGGGTAAACAGTGTCGTAGACATCCAGATTTAAAAGCACCTTGACTGCGCATGGTGACCGCATTAAGGTACTGCTTTTTTTTTGTTAGCACCACCACAACTTCAGTCGCCCATTCGTTTTCCCACAGCGTTCTAGTTCCAATGCTGCTCTATTCACGATAACCTAGGCCAGCCCAGTCGTCAGCATGGTCAGTTGTCGTCTGCTCGATGGGACCGTGCGGCATTGCAACACTGGACACTCGAGAATAACGTGCTCGCTATTCACAGTTTTCACGCCTGCATTCATTTTGGAGCCGACACCGTTTATACTCGCACCAAACTTGGTCTGCCGCACGTGCGTTCATTGGGGAAACGGGTCAGACCACAGTCAGTGCGATATAATTCCGTATGCACGTCGGCGGTAGATCACGACCAACGAAAACGTGCAGGCAGAAAGTTTGGCCTACGATCACTTACAAAGTAAATAAATAAATAATAAATAAAAGAACACGTCTTTCTCGTGTTGGCTTGAAGTGCTTCCTCGTGTAACTATCTCATTTTAATGATCGAGAAGTACTTTACTATTATGACTCGAAAGTAGGCATACGAAATCCCGTGGACTTATTCGTTAACAGCCAGAAAATTAACCAAACACGAATTGCGAAAGCTGCATGCACCTATACGAAACATGCATATCCTCAAAACGTCCTCGAGCAGACGATATCAGGACAATTCTTCGTCCTTAAAAAGGTCTCAAAGGGGCATTTTGGGGATAATCCTGCAAGTGTCGACTAGAGGACCAAATGAGGACGTCCTGAAACTGCCGAGGACGTTTGTACCATATGAGGACGACCTCAGGTCGTCGAGTGTTGTCTGGGTAATAACACACATCACAGCAAAAACGGAAAACATGCTGATTCAGCGAGTCTCGGGTCGCAGACGAGGCCTTAAAGATGCCAACCTTCTGCGCATATACCACGCGTTTCTGATCAGCCACATCAATTACTTCGCGTCTGCCCACAACTGGACGAAAGTGGAAAAAATAAAACTAAACACGCTCATGCGCAAAAGCATTAAACAAGTGCTTGGTTTACCTCAAAACACGAGTAGCCAGTCTTGACCAACTAGGCATGCACAACAACATCGATGAAGTGATCGAGGCCCAGACCATGGCCCAAGTGATCTGCCTCTCTTCCTCCAAGGCAGGACGCCAACTTCTAAGCGAGGCTGGGATGTTCCCACATCCCTACCGTGAACGCGCATAACCCTCCCCAGAGCTAGCTGTCCGCGCTACCTACATGGTAAACCCATTTCCGCGAAATGTTCACCCGCAACACGCCTGGCCCGCGCTCGCGCGACCCTCAACCGTACCGCTGCGAATCACAACTCTACCATCTTCGTGGATGCGGCGCAATACAATAACTCCTCCACCTTCGCACTAGCGGTAGTAGATGGTGACGGAGCCCTACGCTCAGCCGCCTCGGTTAGGCTAGTAACGAGCGCCATAGCCGAGCACGATGGTCGATCCCTCACAAACCCATGTCTTCACAGACTTTCGCGCCGCCAATCGGGCTTACGAAAGCGGCAACATCGCTCGAGAAACAGCCCACATTCTACAAACACGCAAATGCATGGGCTTGCACTATACCTCTCTTGGTTTCCTGGGGCAAAGCGGTCCCCCCACAGCAACCTCAACTAAATGGCTCATGATCGAGCGCGAGAACTGACCCGCCGCGACGATCAATCAGCCACCGAAGAGCTGGGCCCAGACGTACAGTTTAATGATCCTTTACTCACCTTTCACGAAATTACTTCCTACTACCGAAACTATAGAAGCCAATACCCTTTACCACATGCAAAGCTCGAACGCTCGCAAGAAGTAGCTTTTCGCATGCTACAAACGAGATCGTACCTATGACGGGGCCGACTCAGCCGTTACAACTCAGGCATAGATTCACAATGGCCAGACTACTCAGAAGTGTACTGTTCACTCGAACACATGCTCTGGCAATGTCCCGCGTTTCCCCGAGAGGAGCCCCAATCTCAGAAACCAACAAAAGGCAGTCCAGAGGGCCCAAGAACTGGCGGAACGCCACCACGTTCCCGCCCCAACTCGGGTGTTGCTTATACAGTGGCGGCTGCTAGTGTCCCTCGTGAGACGCTAGCAGCCATGGGACACTAGCAGACACCCTGATGGCTTAAACTCCTCAGGACCATTTAATAAAGTTTTTGACTGACTGACTGACTGACTTTAATCCGTAGCCTAGGACAATGAAATTCTCATTATATATATATATATATATATATATATATATATATATATATATATATATATATATATATATATATATATATATATATATATATATATATATATATATATATATATATATATGCTTTTATGCTGATTTCAAATATGTAATCAGATTTATAGTAAGTTGCACAGTTTTTGTTTTATGCATGACGATCTGTAAAGTATAACTCTTTTGCCACAAATATTTTGTGGTTCTGAGCCATTAAGGACTCATATTGCTCTACATTGACTGTATAATGCAAATAACTGTGAATAAAGTGGGTATAAGACATTTTGATTGAGAAAAAACTTCAATTCAATTTTTTTTCTAATCTTCAGCCCATACTGACAGCTTACTTTAGGCTTGCAACAACTGTACAGGTGATATAGAGTTTTAAAAAATATATTTGCACCCTTCAAATGTTAAAAATGCGTGGGCACAATTTAATTAAAATTGGTTATCAAAAGTACCAAAAACATGATTTCCAAAATGAAGAAGTTGCCCTTAAGTGATCGTGAGAAAAACAGCATTTTAATGGTCTAAGTGAAAAGTCATTTATGCAGAGAATATATGTTTTTTAAGATGATTCCTTCTATCATGAGAGCCTGGTAATCGCATTTATTTCGAGCATATGGCTTTAGTGAACTCCTCATAGAAAATTCATTGGCAAGCAGCGAGGCGACTATTTAAACAGTACTCTGATAAATGAGCTTTTTGTTTAGTTTTTAGTAGCCCCCTTGTGCTTTTTAAAAGCAAACTTAATGTACTTTGAGTTTAATTACAATTTTCAGTTTTTTGTCGAGAAAGTAGAAATGCTAAACTTGGGTAATCAAATAAAAATTAAAACACGTAATTTTCAACAAAAAAAGAACTTCATTACTCGCGTCTCCCCTCCCCCCCTTTTTTTATAAAACTGATGAAATAGAAGTTGGTGTCATTGTGATGGCTACAGCTACTCTTTTTCTCTTAGTAGACAAGATATGCACAAAATGCACGTCTCCACTTAACTGCACCTATTCAGAATAAGCTTCAGAACATCAAGATACACTTAATGATGCAAAGCCCTAAACAGGAAAACACGGTGCTCTGGTATAGCAAAGAAGAAATGGTGACAGTCTGTGAGCATGTTTTTCGTAAATGCAGATGAAAAAGCAAAAAAAAAAAAGAGATAAAAATGTGGTTGTTTTATATCGAAATAGTAACACCAGTAGGTTATGTTTTTTCTAAGCCATAAGTGCAGTTGCCTTCTATACAAGCAGGCCGGAATGCATGCAGTTGAGAGGCAGCAAAGTGCGTTCACAGAATGCATTCCGACAGCAACATACTCTTCTGCAAGTGGCAATCAGCTTGCATCATTTACGTTTGGTAGACAGCACTTTAATTGAAGTGTGCTTCCCGCAGGTACACCTAACTTGCTCACTTCACTACAGCGTTACACTCAATACGTAGTACAAAGGACTGCCATGTCATGACCACATGCATCATTCAATGGGACAACATCAAGACAAAACCGATTTTTCAAGCATTCACAAACAAGTTTTGCAACACCGAAAGCAATACTGCTACTATGAAAGGACACTTGGAAAGCAAGAAAATGCACAAAAATGCTGGTAGTGATGCTACCTTAAGATTGGCGCACCAAATGCCGTGACTTCATAGATTTAGACGACGTATACTGGTTCATACATAGCTCCTAAATGTGAGAATGAAGTACATTGTCCTCTGAATTCGCTGTAAAGTTATCATGCCAAGTTTCCTGAAATTTCATTGAGCGAGTGTTGACAAAATGCGAGAAATACACTAAGAATTAAATGTGTGATGCGATGCGTGAAGATTTCAGTACAAAATATAAAAAATGAAACTTTGACCTTGATTTTCCTTTCTTTTGATAAACACATGCTTGTGAAATTGATGGCGTTGATGTTCTCGTGGTACAATCAATCTAGGCCAATTAACAGCTTTACTTGAATGTCCTTTTGGCAAAAATATTCCAAATTTCTTGCCAGATTTCCCACCCCTTTTGGTGATCATTTCAAATGCAATAGCAAAAAATTGTGACAACCTAATGCATTAAAAACAGCTTACTGCTAAAACGTTTATAAGGAAAATTTCTTGGTCAAGTTGAAGTTTTCTACAGAAAGTCATCCGAGTGTTTGTCAAAAATTTTATTCAGAGAGTATCGTTTCTTGTTTCAACAAATTAGTTTACACATAAAGCAAAGACATTTGCGAAAGGCAATCGAACCTCAATGCCATTACTGCAATTTTACCGTCTTGTACGTTATGAAGAATTTCACCGAAACGTTCCATGTTAGCATACTGTAGGGTCTGGCATCGCAGGCTAGGGGGTGAGTCTTCTTTGTCGCAGGATGGTGTGCTTCCCAAAGACCCGATTCTCGGGAGACGATAATCCCGGCGTAAGGGCACCCGTTCTGATAAGAAGACAGTGGTCGGTCACTTCTTTTAACAACCCGCAAGGTGGTCCCCGTACAGCGGAGTGCCGGCGGGCGGCGTGCGGACAACCGGTGTATCGGCACCCATCCATCCGTGGGACGGCTGTCATGTTGGACAGTGTAGTCATCTCGCAGTAATGGTATGGGCCCGCAGCCGGAACGGCGCCACCATTGTACGTGCGTTCGCACAGTTCGCGGAACGTCTTGTGTAGGCCTGTCCTTTCGTCTCTCTCTCTCTCTCTCAGAATGGGAGGTCAAGTGCTGGGATAAGAGAGCGAGAGCAGAGGATGTCGGCAAGTGCATTCAGTCTGTCCAATAAATGGACTAAGTTGTTTTGGTTGGCCGTGAGGAGAATCGGGAAGGGCAACCTAGGGGTTAAAACCTGGTTCCCGTTTCCTCACGGTCGTTCTGGTCGCAGCAAAGAGTGTTCTGCACTATCGGCTCTGTCGAGGCAACATGCGACGGTTCGAACGGTGAAGAGTGTAAATTTGTACATAAGTTCCTGTACATAAAGTCATGTTGTTGGAACTTATCGAAAGGCACTGGTCTCCATCCCTGAACAAGCAGCAGCAGCCACGACAAGACAAGACGGACACCATGCAACCAACCTTCCACTCCCTTCTATAGCAACAGCCGCTACGCACCTGAGAGAGTTCTGCTCAAGGGAACAGAGGGAGTGGGTAGAAGGTTGACTTTTACTCATACCTTTTGCAGTATTGCACTATGTAATAATATGAGAGTAATAATTGCTTTACAAAAATATATATATCTTGCGTAACGCAGAAATTTTTCTATTTTACAAGGTAAATCTGTTTAAACAAAACATTTTGAAAAAATTTATTAAAAAACATTTTGTCTCGATTGAGACTCATTTTGCACAATGTGATGCTCCATTAAAAATTATTGTTAACCTTAATTAAAATCAG